GAGTCACTGGTGAGAACATGGGCCTGGTCCTGACCCTGTTTAGCTCACAGTCTGGTGGGGAAGACATACGGGCACTTAAAACACTAGTGTGGCCCTGGCTGGTGTGGCTCAGTGGATTCAGCACTGGACTGCGAACCAGAGGGTTGCCGCTTCCATTCCCATTCAGGGTACACACTCGGGTTGTGGGCCAGGTCCCTAGTGAGGGGCCTGCAAGAGGCAACCACATATTGATGTTTCTCTCCCTTTCTCCCTTCCCTCTCTCTAAAAATAAAATCTTAAAAAACAAAAAACACGTGTGATAAACTCCATGATGGGGAAGTGCAGGGGGCATTGGGAGTCCAAAGGCAGGGACTCTAACCTGTGGGACCAGTTTTCGAGTTGAGATCTGAACGGTGAGGATGACTTGGTGGAGGGGTGGAGGGGAGAGTTTCCTGATAGGAAATACACGTTTGGTCTTTGTCCCCCTTTCCCTGCACAGAGCTCCTAAGAAACCTTTGGAATTTCCTGAGTGACGGGGGTGATGGGAGCATCTCTCGTTATTAGTAACAAGCCCCTGTCAACCGTACCTGAGTTTGTGCTACTGAAGCGACTCTGGGTGGGCTGCAGAGAGCTTCAGCATGAGGCTGGTGGCCAGAGGGCCAGCCGTGTGCCTGGAGGGTTCGAGCTCTCAGTCCCCCCCTCATAGCATGGACCACCGGGTAACCAGATGGTAAATATGAGGCCACTTCTCTTTGTGAAAGTATGTCAGCTAGTGACTGAGGGTGGGTGACAAAATTGGAATATCAGCATTTTGCAATTTATTTTTTTAAAGATTTTATTTATTTTTAGAGAGAGGGGAAGGGAAGGAGAAAGAGAAAGAAACATTGATGTGTAAGAGAAGTATTGATCAGTTGCCTCTTGTGCGCCCCCAGCAGGGGACTGGCATGCAACGCAGGCATGTGCCCTGACCCGGAATCAAACCAGCAACCTTTTGCTTTTGCAGGACAATTCCCAACCAACTGAGCCATACCAGTCAGGGCAAATTTTGCAATTTCTAATAGATTGAGCATTGATTATAATTTTTTTAAATCTATGGGCCTTTACAATCTTTTATTTAACTCAAAAATGTATTCACAGGTAACTCTTAGTTAATTACATATGTGTTCAGGTTGTAATGAAAGTTCTGGGCAGGGATTTATAATGGTTGAATTAATAATCAGGTAGTAGTCCTGACTCACTCGGAGTCGTTACCGAGAAATTGCATGCTCCAAATTATGTGTCTATAAAACAGATAACAGGCACCTACCTCTTGGAGTTTCTCAGGGTTTCTGCTTATTAAATCAGGTGCTAGATATCTATTAAAGTGGCTCTGGAACTGTGAAATGACAGCTCACAGAATGGGTTTTAGAGATGCCGAGGGTGTTTTGCTCAGTGTCCGGGGGAGGCAGGCAGAGTGCCCAGACCTGTGGTCACCCTTGTTCCCAGTCTGCACTGGGTGAGCTGCCCACGTGTCAGGAGATGCACCAACTGTTGTGATTGGTGTTTTTCTTTAGTAGATGATTGGTTGAGTTTATGCATTTCTGAATGTCATAGACCGAGAATGTTGAAGGAAACCCGCCTTGCTTCATGGTTTCCTAACAGTTGTAACCAGGAACCTTGCAGGGGCTCGGTCTGTAGTTTGACCACCGGGGGATGGGGATTTTAGCTGCAGTTCCTCATGGCTGGAATTGACTTCCTCTCCGTGGGTTATGCAAACCCATCTTACCTTCCAGCCTATGCTAGGTCGGCTCTGGTTCTTCATTTTATGGAAGTTTTTCCTTCATTGGTATGTAGAATTTTTTAAAGCATAGTACTTTGGCCTAATCAAAAAAATACAGTAAATAAAATAGTTTTTAAAAGTGGTAAAACTAAAAGTGTCTGGTGACAGCCACCTGTCAGTCTGACAGGTAGACCGCCACCTACTGAGACCCTTTTCAGGCAGTCATTTGTACAGGGCTTTGGGCGGGACCTGTGGGCGCTGAGGTCGGGCAGACCTGCTGTCCAGTGAGGAGCGCAGGCCTGTGGGGGCTTCCCGGAGGTAGGCACGTAGGCAGGGCAAACCAGTGGGAGGCAGGGCAGAGCCCGGCATAACCTGTTACCTGTGAGGCAGGCTTGCCTCCCCACGCATGCCTAACCACTCACAGAGGCCGGCGGGCCTCGTGAGTCCGGGGGTCGGGCTGCCGGCAGGCAGTTCTGATCACACTCTACAACGAAGAGATGGTGCGCAAGGGTTAAAGTTGCAGAAGAGAGAGGGAAGAGAAGTTAATGTTTGCTTCGTGGAGTTGGCAGGAGAGCCCCAGAAGTGTGGACGGTCTTAATTAACAATGACAGACTTCAGCTCTTAGGTTAGGCTGTTTTTAAGTGTTAAAGTTAACCTTGTTGAGGCAAAACAATGTGGTATCCTGGGCAGCGCGGGGATGTATACTCAGTGCCCCTGAACCTGCAGTCTGGCCCTGCCACCCTCCCACTTTGTGTCCTCGGGCATATCGGTGTCCTCATCTGTGGTGTGGAGCTGGTCGAGTTCCCTCAGAGGTGTTGTGACGATCGAATGAGATCATACTGTGGTTGGTTGAATCTCGGATACACTTGACTGTGACACACCCTAGTTTCTGTGCCCTTGAAGAGAAGAGCCTGTGCCAGTGAAACCAGCTTCCAGGGTGCACTGCATCTGAATCCAGGGGTGTTAAAATGCGGTGGGTAAACTGTGTTTTAAAAATAAATGAAATGCAGTGGGTATGAATGTGCTTTGCTGGGATAAGCCTCCGGAGTCGTATTTAATTTTCACAGTATGAGTCAGGGGAGGAAAAGCAAAGTTATAGCATAAACGCCAGTGCAGACGCACAGGCCGAGCTGGGTAGAGGACGGAGCTGCAAGGAGCAGGAGAAGGGGTCTGTCTGGGTCTCTTCCCCTCACAGAACGTGGCCCCCAGGCTCCCCCTGGTTCAGTGTGGGAGTGTGTGGGCATGGTGTCTACAGTTAAGGCATTCTGTCCGTCTGTGCGTGTTCACTTGCCTCAAGCCTGGGCTTTGGGAGGAACCACCAGGTCGTTTGTGTTCAGTGTGTGGCTTTTTCTGTTTTGGGTATTTGGTCTAGAACTTGCAGGTGCTCAACAGCCCTTGGTGTCGCTTGTGAGCAACAGTGAGTGTTTCAGCATTGCTTTCACAAATAGACCTTTGCTATTGAAAAGGACCTTAGTCCTGTTTGCGGTTGACTTTAGGTGGCTCTGCTCTTCACGGAAGTCATTTTGTAGTCAGGGATTGTTGTGCTTGCAGAGGGGTTGGGACTGGTTTTTCTTTTCTTCAGGTGCTGCAGTTTCCCCGAAGACAGACCGTGGCATCATTCATTACCAGTCTCCATGCCTTCCCCTCTGTGCATTGGAGCACTTCGTTAGCTATGGCTGAGGATTTTAAGGAAAAGTTTATTTCTGACCTTATCGTGGTAATCATTTCACAATATATGCCTGTATCAAACCATCGCCTCATGTGCCTTCAACTGACATCATGATATATGTCAGGTGTATCTCAATAAGGCTGGGCAGGAATGTTTACTTCTTAGTAAAACACCAGTAGGCGAGTCTTAACAGCTTGCTCTGAAGAAGATGCTCAGCATAGCCCTGGTTGGAGAAGATGCTTTCCAGAGCGCCCCCTGTTGGAAGTGGGGTTCGCAACAGCCTGTGTTCTCTAGGGAGGGCTGCGCACTTCGCTACAGAGGGTTGAGCAGTGAGATATTTTAGGCTTTCTGGCTCACGGGCACCGTCTGTTGCGGGTTGTTTCATTTTATTTTGTTTAATTTTGAAAACAGTCCTTTAAAGACTTACAAAGTCATTGTGAGCTGCCCCCTGCCCCTGCCATGCAAAAAGAGGTCACAGGCAGGGCTTGCAGAGTCTGCTCTAGTGAAGAGCTCCTGATCATGACCGAGGCCCCTCGGAGAAGCAACCGGTCCCACATTTGGAGTCGGGAAGTAGAGGAGGAGCCTGGGGCCAACTGGAGGGCCAGTGGGAAGTGTGGGAGGAGAAGGGGAAGGTGGGGCGTGTCCTGGAGGCCCAGTCGTCAACTGGACAGAGCCCCAGGGCCAAACCTGGAACAGTCTGATGAGGTAATGATAATACTGGATTGTAACCCCAGGAATGTAAAGTATCTGTGAGTCTGTAACTGTAAGTGAGGGAGGAGAAACAAATCTTACTTCTAGTGGAATCACAAATAATGAACGAAGGAGAAATGAGGTTCAGCATTTGTCTGCAGATCTGTCCTGCTCCTCAGGAAGCCCCCTGGGAGTGTACCCTGGAGTTTGGGACCCACTTCTAAGGGGTAGAGAATGTGAAGGGAAAAGTGGTCGCCTCCCAGTGGTGAACCCTGGCAGGAGCCACCTGGCTGAGGGGTCATGGTTCACACCCCGCCCCCCGGGAATAAGTTGTGCCAACACCGTCACCCTGATGTGATGGAAGGAGAGGGCCGTTCATTCTGTGCTGTTCTGGATCTTCTGGCGCATCTGCAGCCCCAGCGCAGCCACGAGGCAACCCAAACTGAAGGCACTTTCCACACAGACAGGGAACATCGGAGGTGGGAGATGAGCGAGGGGACGCGATGATTAAATGCAGTGTCCGTGGCCGGGATTGAGTCTGGGAACGCAAAAGAACATGAATGGTGAAGTCCGAATAAAGCCCGAAGTTCAGTTAGGGGTGGTCTGCCGACGCTGCTGTTGTCCGATCTCTGAGAGTGAGCCTTGGAGACCCGAGGGTCAGGGGGGACTCTGGATCGTCCCTGGAACTATTCCGTGAGTCTGAGATTGCTTCAAAATAAGGTTTTTTTTTAAAACCCTAACTTCTTATTCTGGATTGGCTATCAGTTTCATCATGAGCATTTATGCATTATTAAGCATTTACTAACTCTTGGTCCATGTCCAATTGGTGGAAAATACTGATTCGCATATTGAAGTTGACTTTAGAGTGCCCACGTTGTTAAGATGACTTGTTTCTCTTTCCAGGGGAGTCTCCGGCGGCAGAAGTCTCCTCGCCCTTTGTGATCCTGTCCCTGTGCACGCTCGTCGTCTTAATTGTGTTAGTTGCAAACTGTGTTTCCTGCTGTAAGGACCCAGAAATAGACTTTAAGGTGAGCACAGATGGTGGGAACATTCAAAATCAGCCTCTGATGCATTTATCGATAGAAAGGCTAGGTTGCACTGCCCCTTGGGAGCAGGGGTCGGCAGGCTTCCCTTGTAGGAGCCAGGTAGCAAGTGCACGCTGCCGCTGTGAGTAGCCCACACTGTGGGCTGTGCGGGGTCTCGGCACGGCTGCTCACCTTGCAGCTGGCCGTCGAGGTGCTTACGCCAGCCATAGACAGAAGCAGATGGTTGTGGCTGCATGCCAGTAAAGCTTTATTTACAAAACTAAATGGCTTGGATTTGGCCCACTGGCTGTAGTTTGCTCACCCTGCCTTAGAGCACCGTTGACAATTTTAAGGTTTGAAAGCGGGGGGGGGGGGGATAAAGCATGATGATTGGATTCACTTGCTATAAGGCCTGTAAGGAAGAACAGCTGGTTTTAACTTTTTTTCCAAAATTCTGTATGCTGGTGAGTCTGTGGTGGTTAAGGTTATTGAGGCAAGGGATCCTCTAGTGTGTTTGTGTATGAGGAAAACATCTTTCAGTTTACTTTGAACCCTACAGGCCTCAAGGGGGAGAAAGAACAGTGCTGCCAATTGTAAGTGCTGGCGGGTCAGGTGTGTATGATACAGTAGCCGCGGACGGCGGGATCTGCTGGGAATGAGCTGGAATGTACCGTCCTGCCCGAGAACATACTCCGTGGCTGCTGGCATGCACGGGGCCCAGTGAACACTTGTGAAAAAGGAGTGCAGGCGTGCAGAGAACGTGGTCCTTTATGTGAAGGCCTACGAGCTGTGCTGGGGGCTGTCCCAGGCATCCTGAGGGCCACTGGGTCAAACTGGGGAGAGGGAATGCTGTCTTCCAGCGAAAACCTTCTTTTCACTGGATATGTGAACCTCTTTTCTAGAACCTCACCCCTGTTTCTATCCTGTGTTCTCTTTACCTTGAGTGTGGTGAGGGCTCTGACAGGTGAGGACGGGTGGTATCCTTTTGGCTCAGTGTTAGCATTATATACCCGGGGCGTTGAGACCAGGAAGGCTGGAGAGAGAGAGACTCAGTCACACGGTCGTGTTCTCTACAGGACTTTACCCCTTACAGGGCTTTATTCACCACGTCAGCCCCTGGGCCCTAGAATCACAGCAGACACCTCTGTGGGTTGTAATGACCACACTGCAGTGGGGCAGAGGGGTGGGCAGTGAATCTGGGCCCCTTGACTGTCAGTCTTGCTGAAGGACTTTGGCCAGACACCTAGCCATTTGGGGACAAAGTCTGGTCAGTGTTGGTGAAGCTGAAATCGAGTTTCTCTCTCACGTGTCACTATGCCTCTGAATTTTTGCCTTTGGTTATTGTAACCCCACTGAACCTCAGTATCCATGATGCAGATTCAGGGAGTAAGGATTTTTGTCAACTTTCCCCAGATGATTCCGGTGCCGGTGACCCAGGGGTCACCCTATGGAGGATCCTCTCACCTCCACCAGCTGTCCGACAGAGAATGAGTACAAATTGCTAACGTCTGTAATTTGTGGGTTTCCTTTAGATTGGGAACAGTGTAGTTTTAGACGTGAACGTTCCCTCGGAAGTCCTCTCAGGGACTAGGCAGAGCGAGCCTGGTAAAGGGAGTGGCTTGCCCACGTGCCTCCAGACAGCCACTGGCGTAACTTTGAAAGTGACCCAGTCTCCTCTCACACCTCCATTAGAAACAGTGCACCGTGTTCCCTCTTCGAATCTGTAGAGTCATCTGCTGCCTGATGGTGTACCATGCGGGGGCCAGAGTCTTGAGCGGCGTTATTTCTGAGGCAGGAGTGACGGATAAAGCCTTTTTAATGGGAGAGCCTTTGGGAGTGTCCAGAGGGAGCGGTGAGCGTCGCTCTTCTCTTTGGAGGCCTCCTCGCAGCTTGGAGTCACTGCACCTGGCTCGTTCTGCTCCCTCTCCCTGTTCTAGTCCGCAGTCCTGTCCTAATGCATTTGACCACACATGTGACGTGGGAAATAATGTCCGCTCACGTGCGTGTGAGAACGTGTGCTACGTCGAAGAGATCTACCCTTACAACCTCCAGTGTCCTCCGTGTGGGGGACTGAGGGAGGTGGTAGAAAAGCAACAGGAAGAGGAGGACGTTCAGTAGGGGATTGGGGAGCAGTCTTGGTCAGTAGTCTTGAGCTCTTCTCAGCTCCTGTTATGGTCCCGGCGGGGTAATGCTCGTTCATTACCCGAGCGAATGAATGACCTTGATCATCACCTGCCTCTGTGTTAACGAGGACACCGAGGTAGACCAGGCTCCTGCTGTCTTTAGAAAATGGGGTGTTCCAAGAAGGTTAATTGCACTTGTGTGCTACACTGTTTTCTACTTTAACTTTCGAGGTTCAGATCTGGGGTGATTTCCTACCTGATATAGTAATTTTTTGAAAAGATTTTATTTATCTTTAGAGGGGATGAGAAGTGAAGGAGAGGGAGAGAAACCTGTGTGGCTGCCTCTTGTGCGCCCCCTGCTGGGAACTGGCCAGCAACCCAGCCACGCCCCTTTGCTTCACAGTCCCGTGCTCCATCCACTGAGCCACTCACTCCAGCCAGGGCTAGTGAAGTAATTTATTCTGCTCTTTTCAGAGAAGGAGGACTTGCTTAAAAATATTTTCCGAGTCTTTTAATTTTCTTGTTTTGATTAAAATCACAATGTAATCAGAAATGCATAAATAATTTAAAAATAAACTTGTTTTGATTTAATATGCAGAGGGATCTATGGAGGTGAATAATATAAAAAAGAAGAGCTTAGACTATAGCTAATAACTTAAAAGTAAAATTTTGAACCTAGAAGAGTATTTTCATTTTAAATTCTGTGGTCATAGAAAATTTTACGTTTAACTTCAAGCTATCAGTTTAAAAAGTTACATAAAATGTGTATAATTTATTTTCAGATCTTATTTATTTTGCTATTTGGAGTCGGAGAACACAATTACGTATGCTTTTACTTAAAATAAGTATGACTCAGGGAAAAAGTTATGGTCGTGTGCTCCAAATGAGTGAATAAGTGCTCACATCTTAAATGTTAGCCAGTGCTTTTTTAGGATTTGCTCTCAAACTGAGCTGTATTAGGTACAACATCGCTCTTCTCTTATTTTAGGAATTCGAAGATAATTTTGATGACGAGGTAGATTTCACACCGCCAGCAGAAGACACTCCCTCTGTCCAGTCTCCTGCAGAAGTGTTCACACTTTCAGTGCCAAGTGTCTCACTGCCGGCGCCGTCCCAGTTCCAGCCTTCCGCAGGTAAGACCTGTCACGTTTTCCTGAGCCATTTCTGAGGAGCGAGCCTGGGAAGCTTGCTCCAGTCATAAAATAATTGGACTCACTGTCTCCTCTGGGGGCTTATTTCTCTTCCTTCTGCTCCTTGCTGAGGCTGAATGGTCAGGCCCATTGCATTCCTGCAAAGCTGAGTCCTTTCCTTTTGGACTCTGGATACGTGATAAGAAGACGCTGGCCTCCTCAGTTCACTCAGATGGAACTCTTGGACAGAGCTCCTGCCTCTGCTTTAGTGGGCCCGCTTCTCTCCTCGTCCTCTGCACTGGGTGTCCTGCTGAACAGACACGGCTGTCCTCTGGTGTGTCCTGTGTTCAGGAGGAAGGGTATATTTGGATTTGTTAATCAGACAGACTTTTCATCTTATGATAGGGAGGGACAGTCCCTGGGGTTCCGCACTCTACCACAAAACAGAACTACATGAAGGTCAGTGGGATGGTGACTGGAGGCCACAGGAAAGTAGTTGGACCAGGAAAAACCAGCGCAAGTTATTAAAGAACCAGGGTGGGATAGTCTTCCAAAATTATTGTCAGTTTGAAAGCTTGGAGCCATTTTGGCGTTGTTGGTTTGAAACAGATGTTTTATGTATTTATTTCTCCCTTTATTAGCATAAGCGTTATGTTTGTGTTAGTACTTGTATTTTATAGGTTGCATAATTAATATTTAACTTATTTCAGTTAAATGTTTATATTTAGTTTTAACGTTTTTTTCTTTTTCTTACAGAAGGTTCGAAGTCTCAAGTTGCTCGCCACAGTCTAAACTATATACAGGAAATTGGAAATGGCTGGTTTGGAAAGGTGAGGTGGTGTTCACTTTTTTCCCCCTCTGTTTACACTGTTTAGTAGAATTTAAAGCTAATTAAGAATTGTATTGTGTGATGCTCCATGTTCTCTGTAGACATTATAGTCCCCATGAATTTCCCCATCGCACTCTGAAACCTCATGGGGATGTGAGTGTCAGCATTCCTGGGTAGTGAGTTATTCCAAGGAAGTCTTTTATTTATGTGTCAGAGACTTTTCTAGTTATTGGCATAGGAATAGTACAAGGAGCCCTGGGTGGTGTGACTCAGTGGACTGAGTGCCGGCCTGCAAACCAAAGGGTTGCTGGCTTGATTCCCAGTCAGGGCATAGGCCTGGGTTGTAGGCCAGGCCCCCAGTAGGGGGTGTGTGAGAGGCAACCACACATTGATATTTCCTCTTTATCCCTCTCTTTCTCTCTCTAAAAATATATAAATAAAATCTTAAAAAAAAGAACAGTACAAAGGGAAAAGACACTGGCATTTTAGAAGCTTTTTATCCTTCTCAAATTAAATTCTTTGTTCTTTCCTCTTCTCCTCTCCGGCTTGTGAGATTTTGTAGACAGAAAGTGTTATTCTAATGGGGAGCATTGCAAAGAATTGTTTTGTCTCTCATAGCCTATCCAGTGACCCGTGGTAAAAGCCCTTTGTTGATGGTTTTCTGGGAGTGTTCGGAAGGGATCATTTCACTCTTAACAGTGGTCTCCGTGACACAGAGGTCTTCGTGGCACAGCAGTCGCCCTCTGTGAAAGGGCCCTAACTGAGTGGTGGTCGCATCGTGGGCGAGGCGGTCACTGTGGGAAGATGCATTTGCTCTGTAGTCGGCCAGCTTATGGCTTATGTTTCTTGTCTTCCCGCTCAGAGTTGTCTGCCAGGCCTGTGTCTCTCATGTCATCCAAACTTCGGTCGTTACTGAAGCTTCTAGGCCATTTAGCAAAACCTTTGCTGCATCTCACGTTGCTCTTGGTGCTGGGGAAGATGGGTAAAGTCCTGGCCTGGGAGCACTGGGGATGGAGCAGCGAACCAAATGGAAGCCTTGCCCTGACGAAGCTGAAGGTTGTAGTGTGTGGGGGTGACGGTCAGTAGTAGGAGGAGATGGCTGAGGGGCTTCAAGAGCCAGTGACCTGAAACGGGTGTGTATTTAGAGCCTGACTTGTACCCAGAATGAGATGGGGAAGTATCCAGGCTTGAGAGAGGGGAATCTGGCTCACCTTGTGAAAGGGTCAGTCTGGCGGTTAGTTGGAGAGGGCCAAGGGGGCCACGGGGGAGCGGTTAGGAGGCCCTTGCAGCCACACAGGCAGAGAGCAGCAGGCTGGAGCCTGGGTGGGCGGCAGCCTGGAGTGTGTGGGAGTGGGGCGACCCACACAGATTCTCAGGTGAGAGTACGTAGGATTTGGGATGGACCAGCTGTGGAGTCCAGAAACAGAGGGGAGTCAAGGATGACTACTCTTGGCCTGATTGACAGGCAGGATGTAGTTGTCGATTCGCAATGGCAGAGACTGGGGGGAGCAGTTGTGGGGGAGGAAGTCAGGAGCTCACCTCCGATGGGCAGGGTGTGCGAGAGCTCTTAGACATTCAGGTGGAGGTGACAGGTAGGCAGCTGGACACGCATTAGGGTGTCCAGGTAGGTAGAGGGTCCCAGCAGCATGGGCTTTGTGACATTCTCACATGGAGGGGAGAAGGTGGAGCTGGCACATTTGAAAGAGAGCAGAGAAACGGAGTGGGAGCTATTTGGGACCAACCGAGATGGTGGAAAAACAGTGTTGTTAATGTGTTCAGAGGGCACGTTATGCACTTGTTGGATTAGACTGTTGAAGTAAGTGATCTGGAAATGAAAGGCCTGGTAGAGAGGAAATTAAATGTCAAAGTCTGGGATGTAGTATCATTATGGCGTAGGTCTAGATCTGTGGGGGTGTTTGCTGAGACAGGGTCACAGAAAGAGGTTGTCAGAAGTGAGGTCGAAGAACTGAGAGGTCCCGGTGTCGAGGGACCTGTCCCTTCCCCTGGCGAGCATCAGGAATGGTGAGGCAGTGGCGGGGAGGGAAGCAGTGGGCCGCTGTCGTTCTCCTGTTTCGTAGCCGGCATCCTGCGGGGCGAGCGTCGGGCTTTCCAGATGGGCACGCGGTGGCTCTTCGAAACGGTCACTGCGTCAGCGATCGGGGTTTCTTGTTCAGTTCCTTTTCTGCTCTTGTAGTCTTAATAAGTACATAAAGTTCTGTTCAAGTTTATACTACTATTTCCAGGGCATTAAAATGAGTCTAGTTATAAAAAGATAAAAAACTACTTTAAAAGGAAACCTTTAGTTTTGATGATTCTCAAATTAAATAAAAACTTCATCATTTTTGTTTTAGATATTGTATTTTAGAATGCCTTTGCATTGTCCTATGTTTGATATTTTACTTGTACTTTTTTCATCTTCTGTGTTCTGTGAATTTCAGTGCGATATTTCCCCTCTAGAGTTTTCACTAAGGTTCGAGTACCTGATGAAGGCCTGGGATAACTGGAGTGCCGTGGGTGTTTAGCATTATGATGCAGTGATATTTGTTTGCCCCTTGGCTGTCTCTCAGTCTACCTCTCATATGTGAAGGGGACGAAACTCAGTTGAAGTGTTTTGAGAAACATTTGAGTTATGTTTGAACTGGACTTACAGTTACACTTCTGTAACGTCGTTGGTAATTTCCATGAAAGTATAATACATTTTTAAGTACATGAAAAAGAAATACACATAAGCACACGAATGTTGGAAATATCTGATGGCTGGTTTAAAATTGAAGGTGGTATTTTGCTTCCCCACACCTTTTGTGAGGTAGTATTTAAAATAATAGAAGGCCACCTGCTTGTTGCTTAATTAATTTTCTTGTATGCCATTTCCTAATAACTGAAACAAACTTTTTTACCATTTCGATGGAAGTGAAATGAAAAACTGTTCTTTGGTTCTAGGTCCTCCTGGGAGAGATTTACACAGGCACTAGCGTAGCACGAGTGATAGTGAAGGAGTTAAAAGCAAGTGCGAGCCCCAAGGAACAAGATACTTTTTTGAAAAATGGAGAACCTTACTAGTAAGTAATCCTTAGTATATGTTTTGCAAACATAATCTGTGGTCTTTTGAAAATCACCGTGTTTAAGAATACTTTGGAATTGTGTTGTAAGGTATTTAAACGTCAAATCACTATATTGTACACCTGAAACTAACATAACATTGCACACCAGCTATATTTAAATTGAAAGAGGGAGAGAGAAAGGGAGAGGAAGGAAGGAAGGAAGGAAGGAAGGAAGGAAGGAAGGAAGGAAGGAAGGAAGGGAGGGAGGGAGGGAGGAAGGGAGGAAGGGAGGGAGGGAGGGAAAGAAAGAAAAGTCAAAAGGGAGCTACAGATCTGGGTGTTCCTGGTTAGGGAAACAATGGTATGGGAATTTTCAAGGTTCTTGGCAACAAACTGATTTTGTGACCCTGCGGGAGGATGAAGGCTGGAGGCCCAAAGGAAACCTGGCCTCAACATCCCGGGCAGCACCTTCTGGTCCTGCTCAGTTTGAGGCACGTCAGTTTGTGCCCCTGTCACAGATAACAGTAATGGCAGTGAGCTCATTCAGGAAGTCCCTCTCTCTTCGTGTGAACAGATTGCAGAACTTCATCCAAGAAACAATATTTTAAATCCATCATTTAAAATTACATCTTTAGACCTAAGAGGATCTTTTCACCAAATAAATTTGCCTTTGAAAAAAACCAAAATATTTCTTAAACCCCAAAAACCCTAACTTTGGAATTTCTGCTTGCCAAGTACACAGTTTAAACAAGATCCGGAGTTTCATAACATAAAACCCAGAATGAAACGCCCCTTGGGAGTTGCGAGGGTAAACGAACCGATGCCCCGACCAGTGACTCGCTCGACTGTGGAACAGGGTGGACGGTCCGTGTGGCCGCCACTTGGGCGGTCATCAGGGCCTTGTGCTGAGTGAGAGTCAGTGTTCAGAGGCCATGTGCAGTGTCACAGTCACATCATAACTCCAAAGTGAGGACGTTACAGAAATGGGAGGCAGGCCGGCGCGGCCAGGGCTTAGGAACGACGAGGTGGGGTGCAGGGCAGTGGCTGGGACCGTCCTGAGGGAGGCTGGGGGAGGCTGGGGGCATCCGTGTGGCAATGGGGCGCTTCTGTGTGTCTGCCGAGGTTGCAGTTGTGCAACTGTGTGCGTGTGATAGACCGCACGGCATGGCAGTGTGCTCAGGCGTATGGTGCACTGCGGTTGTCACGTGCAGCTCGGGGACACTGGGGGATGGGGCTGCGGGACCTTTACTCTGTCTCGGTGGGTTACTGGTAATTTCTGATTGCTTCAGAATCAAAAGCTTCTTAAACAATTTTGGCCTATCTTTTTTAAACTTTCTTTTGGACAGAATATTTTCCAAAAAGAGATTGTATATGCTGTGGAAATTTATGGAAATAGTATATAAGCTAGATGGTCTAAGGAGTAGCTGGGTTATTTATTAATATATGGATCAAATGCTTATTATACTTCTATATTTAGCCTGCCTTTTTAAAAATGATGCTTCAAACTGATACTCTGTAAATTAAAGTTATTAAAATTAGAGGTTCTTCTGATAGTTCTGTTTTGATTTTTGGAAATGTTCACCTGATTGGCTTTGAATTGTTTAATCATTAGATAACAATAAATCTGGTGAGTTAATGTGCTCTTTTCAGCTTAGCATATTTAAATCACTGTGAATGTTACCATTTGGTTTACTGCTTGGACAGTTTTACTAGCCAGCCCACCTCTGATGAACAGCACTGTGACTTTTTCCCCCAGCATCCTCCAGCATCCCAACGTTCTGCAGTGTGTGGGGCAGTGTGTGGAAGCGATCCCCTACCTTCTGGTGTTCGAGTTCTGTGACCTGGTAAGCTTCTGGCAGCAATTCAAGGCCAGGCATTCAGAAGGTCATACCCAGGTGTTTCTGACAGGTGCAAATGCTGGGTGGGGGGCTTGCTTTCACTTCCGTCCCCCCTTTTAAGAACTTAATGAAGTATTTATTCATTGCCTTTGATAATTGTATTAGTGTTTTATTTTTTTGAGAACATTTTTGCCCTTTAATTTGCATTTACAGTTAGTTTCTTTAAATATTTCAGTTGCAAGTTCTCAGTGTTTTGTGTTTTATTCCTGTGTAAGCTATTTGCACCCAATACCACATTTAATCACATGCCTCCGCACTTGACGTGTGAGTGAAATAAGGCCCATGGAGATGGAAAAGATGTCTGTCGAGTATCTGGCAGGCCCAGGGCTTGGGTCTGGGCTGCCCTTCCCAGCAGCTTGAGGCTGTGACTTCCGGGAGGCGTTTTGCAGCACTTTGCCCAGCTGAGGGCGCCCAGGAGTCTCATGGCCTACAGAGCACCCTTGTCCTGTCCGTTTTTAACGATGGTACATGTATGTAACATTTGTGTTCTTCAGTAACTAGACGGTTTATTTTCTACATGAAAATTTCCTGTAAACATTTTATTAAGTTTAGGTTTTGATTGATTTCTTCACATTGTCTCAGTTTTCAGAACATTGAGCTTCCTTGACTCCGTGCAGAAAAGTGGGAGTACCCCAGAATAGATCCCCAAGTAATTCAGAGGGTATTTTTCAGCTGGTAAAACAGGAGAAGAGCAGTGAACACTGTGAATTTTTGTTTTAATTCCTAGATATCATTTGAAAATATATTACTCTCATTGGCAGAGGTAGTTACTTCTAAAGAAAAATTTTTATTAAACTCAATGTACTGGCGTTCACCTGATGATGGTCTAGCACCCAGCCCATCTCAGAGGCCGGTAGGAGCGGAGTGGCCCTCTCCCATCTTCCGCACAACTGTGTCTGGGCAGTTGCACTCGGTCCCAGGCTACACGCATTCGTCTCCCCCCGAGATCCTTGTGTCCGTGGGTCTGCAGATGCTGGGAGGGGTGGGGGCAGGGGATGTGTGTTCTGGCGCTTGGTACAGTGTATCTCTGTGGCTCTTAGGGGTCAAGTTTATAAGGTTCATAAAACAGTAATTGCTTCTCAAAAAATTAAAATAGAATTACCATAGGATCTAGCAGTTTTGCTTCCAGGTACGTAGACTCGAAAGCAGGACCCTAAGAGACTTTCGTGCACCATGTTCACGGCCACGTGACTCACGAGGTGGAGGAGCAGCCCTGGTGCCCGCAGCCTGCTGAGGAGTGACTAAAGCTGGGTGTGTCTGGGCAATGTCATCCTGCTATACTGTGGGAATAAGCCACGTCACAAAAGACACCTACTGTGTGTTCCCACTTAATGCGGCATCTCAGGCAGCCAGACTCATGGAAACAGAGAGGAGAGGGTGCTCGCCACGGTCTGGGCGGAGCGGGTAGGGAGTTTCGGTTTGGGAAGGTGTGTCAAGGGTTCTGTTGGGTGAACGTTGCTGACCTTGGCTGCACAGTGGTGTGAGTGTACGTAATGCTCCTGACCTGTGTGCTTAGAAATGCACACAGGTTAAGATAACTTGATGTTATGCATTATACCACAATTTTTAAAACATCGGTAATTACCTACTATTATTTAAAGTGTCTTACAAGGTGTTACTTCTGTTAGGGGAAAGCTAGAAATGCCCAGATTTCCTTGTGAAATCTGTCAGTGCTTGGAATGGCTAGTTTCCTGTCAAGATCAAGGCCTTTAATCCAGCGCTCCTACCACCATGCCCTGTGGCAAGAGGTCACTTTCGTCTCCTCGGGCAGTTTTGTGCTCACCCCCCAGGGCCCCGGTCAGCCTCAGAAACTTTCCTGCAGTGAGGACTGGGGCCTTGGCTGGCTCCCTGCTCTGAAGCCTGGGTCTGTAGGCTCCGTGTGTGCAAGACTGCGTGTCTGGGGCGGTTGGGTAGGGTCAGCCCATTGAGCCAGGGGGCCTGCCGGAGAAGAGGGGCACCATCCAAGGTGAAACTACCCATTTGCAAGGGTCCAGAGGACAGAGGGTTATGGCCAGGCTTGGGAGTCCGCAGCTCGCGCCACAGTGAAAGGAGCCACTATCCTCACAGGCTCTTAGTAGGTCAGAAGCGATTGAGTGAACGTCGGCCTTTTCAGCCGTCACCGGGCGGTGAGCATGCTCGGCGATAACATCTTCTAGGTAGAAAGGAGAGAATGTTTTTGCACTTACCTAAGTAATTCCATGTTAAGATAGAAGTACCAGTCTGTTTTTCAGAAGCACTTTATCTTAGAATTTTTATGAAAGAAAACGAAAAGTCTCGTGAGTTTGGCAGCTAGACCGTGGCCGCTGGTGCGCTGTGCCGCCCAGTGCGGTGGCTGTGGAAGGACGTGCATGGCTTGTTGCTGTAGGAGAGGCATGCAGAGCTGTCACGGGACAGGCGAGGGGACTGTGTTTTGGATGAGGATCATTCATTTGGCAAAAGCACAGCAAACACTTGTGAAGTGCTAGGCGGGACACTGGGGCGAGTCACCCTGACCCCTGCCTGTCCTGCCTGTAGCACCAGGCAGGCCTGCCTTCAGCTGCTCCATGTGCCACCTCCATGTGGCTCAGTCTCCTTGGGACATTACCTAACCTCTTTATGCCTCAGTTCAGACATCTGTGCAGCGGGGAGAATACTGTCTGCCCCACAGACTACTCTGACCTTTAGTAAGAGGAACAAAAATTGCTGGGCACATACAGTAAGTGCTCAATAAATGGTATTTAAAAAAGTTTTTAGTTAAATTTATTGGTCACAATTAATTACTGAGTAGGGGTCCGAATAGTGTGTGTAGAAGAAATGTAACTAGAGATCCTAACTAGATTCACTGGGGAAGGCTTAGCAAAGGAAATGTGTTTGATCTGAGTGTAGAAGAGTGAGTGGATCAACGTCCTTGGCAGGAAATGACAGCAGGAACGGCGTGTGCCAGGCAGGGGGGCCGACGTGCGTGGCTGTGGGGAGCAGCAGGTGCTCCGGTGGGCACGGAGCGCTATACGAGCAGAAACAGTCTGGCGTCTGTGGGAAGGGTCAGCTGGGTGAAAAGCATCGCAGACCACTTCGGACACCAGACTGCAAGCTGAGGTGATAGGACACAGATTGATTAAACTGGGCTGCGTCTTAATGCTGCTTCCCCTGGGCCTGGGCCCTCGGCCCTAGCTGTTTGGGGCAGGCCGTCCCGACTGCCCTCCCCAGTGCCTGCTTCCCTGCACCCTGGGCCTCCTGAGGCTGCCTCCCCCATGCACTGCCCACCTGCTCTGGCAGCAGAGGGGGTGCCCTCCCTCACGTCACAGGTCCTTGCTGCGGAGGCACCAAGGTGCCTGCCTGGAGTTGGCGCCGGGGCGAACACCAGGGGAAGGGAGCAGAGATCTCTAGGGTTTTTGACATCGCTACTAGAAAACTGTAAATTTTATGTGTGGCTGGCACCTTGTTTTCATGGGACGGCTGTGCTCTGTGCCTTCCACTGAAGTCATCTCTAGATTGCGCGCACCTAACACAGTGTAGGTGCCGTATGTGGTAGTCACACGGTGTGGGTTAGGGAGTAACGACAAAGGGAAAGTCTGCATGTCCAGCTCCAATGCAGCCAACCGTGGGCCTGAGCACAGTGTGCACGTCAGCAGCGAGGGACCTTTTCCCTGCATGTTTGTGGTCTCTGGGCAGTTGAATTTACAGGTGGGGAACCCGTGGATACAGAGGGATGACTCTGTTTGCCAAGCTTGTGCTGGTCCAGGCACAGGGGACACGGAGTCAGACAGCCCCAGCCCATGCAGCTCATTTCTGGTGGGCAGGGCAGACAGGCAGACTGATGGAACACCAGGTAGGGCCGCGGGTGGTGCTCAGCCGAGGCTGCTCGGGATGGAGTCAGGAAGGCCGAGCAGGGGGCTGTTGTGGTAGTTCTCACAAGAGGGTGGTGATCACAGAGGAGTCCAGGAAGGGTGGTCTGATGCCAAATGTGGTGTGGGAATAGAACCAGGACTCGGTGATGGGTTGAATGTTGGCACCTAGAGATGAAGCAAACTCAAGAATGGCATCTTCAGTTTTGGTTTGATCCACGGGAAAAGCTGTGCCATTTCTGAGAAGGAGCAGATTGGAGGAGTTACGTGCGGGAGGTGTGAGGTTTGAGGTGCCTTAGGTCATCCAGGAAAGGGTGTCCAGTCAGCAGTTGGACACATGAGTAGTTGGGCTCAGGAGACAGAGGGCCAGGAAGGGTGTCTGAATGATTCTTTTTTCAAGCCACAGGGTGGTAGAATCACCTGGGAATGAATGTCATAGTGACTAGGACCAAGGACTGAGCCCTGAGATGTGCCAGTGCTCACAGGTCAGTGAGAGAAGGGAGATCCAGGAAAGAGCCCGAGAAAGGACTGCCCAGTGGGATGGGAAGAAAGCCAGGCGGCTGGTGAAGGAGGGAACCCACCAGCGGCCACACACTTGGCAGAAGTCCTGGGGAGCAATCGCAGCTGAACGTGGGGGCACAGGGGTGGAGTTGCAGGGAGGAAGGATTTGCAGGAAAGAGAGGTGGGAGGCCAGGAGGAGGAACAACCGGAACAGGGCAGGCGTTTGAGGAGGTTATCTGGGAAGAGGGGGTGGGGGAGAGGAGGCCTGTTTGGTTCTCTGTTGGATCTTCCTGAGAGGGGTTGGAGCCCTAGAGAGACAGCAGGTGGGCTCACCCGGGCTTGGGCTTGGGACGGCCCAGTGACTAATGGCAGTACCAGAGGGGGCATAGGGGGGTGGGTAGGGGTGGGTGAGAGCTTGAGTGGTGTACAGAAAGCAGAACTTGGGGGGGAGAAAGGGCCTGGTTGGGAGGGCAGGGCCGCCCTGGGGGCTGCAGCTGTGATGTTGATGTAGCTCCTGGCTGCTGCGTGTGTGGCTCTTCAGGCCATTCATTCATCCTTTCGTGCAGTTTTTTGTTAAAAAAAATGAGAGCCCTCCCCCACCCCCAAAATCATCATCTTAAACATAAATAACTAGATTTTCAGTTATAAAACTACATAATTGTTTGGTTTTTACATTGTATTGAAATTAAGTCATAGTTCTCAGTGTCCTGCAAAAAACCGGATAAATCCTCATGGCAGCTTATGTTGGAATTTAAGAGGATTCTTCTGAGTAGCCCAGTTAAAGGTCTGTTATTCATGAATGACTCATTCCAAGAAGTCATTCGTAGCTGTGGTCTGAGTTCTTAGTATAGCACTTTGCTGCCATCTAGTGTTGTTAATTTTCCTTTTTTTCTTCTTTCTTTTTTTATTGTTTAAGTACAGTTGTCTGAAATTTTTCTTTTCCAGTTTTTTGAGGCTTCAGGGAGGATCTGAATACAGGAAACTATTTTTCAGAATACGTTGCTGTTCTTTGTTTTTAGATAGTGGGCTAAAGTGGTTAGTCCCTGTCTACTCCGTAAACATCATTAAACTATAAAACAAACCAGGTACTTAAATACAGCTTTGTTGTGGGTGGAATGGATCAGTTTGTAGTACTTACTTGATATGAACATCTTTATTGTGATTCAAGCTTTTATGCTGATTTTTCTTGTACATGGAGAGCTCTCAAGGGTCTTTGTAGAACACGGCTCTGACCCTGGGTCCTGCCCAATCTACACTGGCAGTTACTCCTCAGCCCAGGTGAGAGGTGTATTTGCCTGGAATGTGCTGACTTCGTGCTCCCCCCCCCCCCCCGTGGGGTGGGGAGAGGCTGTTGTTTGCATTAGAAAGCAAAGTCTTCTGTTTGTTACGATGCCTTCCAGTGAAATCTGGGGCATGGAATCAGTTGTGGAGAGAAGATATTTTAAGAACAGTGAGTAGTAACGAATATACTTCAGATAACCTTGAAAAATAAGGACACCCACTCTGCTTTCATGGCCAAAGTCACTTGGGAAGTGTTGCAGGTTTGTCAGCAGCGCCCATTTGTCTTGGGAATTAGCAGGACACAGCACAGTGCAATCCCCCCTTCCTGTGAGGGCAGTTTCTACCTCAGCTAGGTCTGGAAAGGGCTGGATGAGTGACTGTCTTGCCATGTCAGTGGTAATATAAATAAATTAAGCTACTTATTTTCCTACTTAGCCTCCTTACAGTCTACCTTACAAAAGTTCTGCAGCTAGCAGGCCTGGAGTTTTCTGCTGGAGTGTTTCCGGGTTAATTTTGTTGTCCTCCAAATCCGTCTTCATTCCCAGCACTCCCCCTTGCTGGTCAGAGCTTAGCCCCAGCCCAGGGGAAGGTGGAGAGAAGAAAGGTGTAGTTGTTTTGCCATGGACCAGCTTGTGATTGCTGCGGGGCCTGGGGGAAGCTGGGAGGAAGCTGGGGGAAAGCTGAGAAAGGGGGTGGGTGAGCACACACACTGGCTGGGGGAGGGAGCAGCTGCTGCCCTGGCAGAGAAGTCCCACTGAGCCCGGGAGAGCCCTGCAGGCCCTGCCTATCGGCTCTGTCACTCACTAACTCCTTCCCACCACATCAGCGGGTGAGGTCTGCATCCTGATGATTTCATTCACACACCAGATAGAGCTTTCTGGACGAGTTGGTCAGCTGAAAAGAAGTACAGCCCTGCCACTTACTATTTGCTCTGTGGTTTTGGGCAAATTTCTTAACCTCCCTAAACCTCAGGTCCACATCTGGAAAAAATGTTTGAAATTATAAGAACCACTTGAGGTCGCAAGTGTAAAATCGAGCCCAGTACTTGGCACACTGTTCAGAAACTTCAAGGGCACTGGTTCTCATGCTGGCATCGCCACTCACGTGAAGACCGTGGCCACGGGGGAGAGGACTGTGGGTCCTTCGACCGGATCTGGGAGCTGCTTCCGGGTGCACTGGGAGTTAACGTGGGCAGGTGCTTCTGCAGGGATGTTGGGTTTCAAAGTTTCATTCTGAGAGGAAGTGGACAAACATCCCTTTTGTCCCTTTTGGGAACAATTGTAAGAAATGCATTCTTTAGTTGGTCAAGGAAATGTCCTTCCTCGTGAGTCTTTTCTTGACTCAGATACAAAGAAAATAGAAAACTGTTAGCCTTCTTTCTAAATTTCATTAACATTATATAAAGCTTCAATTTGGAATTGAGTCACATCAGTAAATATTTAATCACGTGGTTAGGAGAATGCTGAAGATTTACTTCCTCAAAAGTGTATTCCCCAAAACACGCAGTCCCCAATTAGAGTGAATTAAAGTCACGGATAAAGACCGGAACACAGGGAGCTGTGCCAGGGTCCCTGGGGCTTGGTGTTTAAAGGTCTGTGTAGTGTGTGTCCAAATGTGCGTCTGCTGGCTTGCCCGCCCACGCTGCTGTCCTTTGAGTAGGCTGTTCCGTGAACTTTTCTGGAGGGACCGGAATGTTCTTTCTCATAGCAGTCTCTGCGTAACGCAGGGTCCCGAGGAGGCTGGCAGACACCTGAGGCAGCTGGCACCAGCACTGCACATACTCGTCCCTCCGTCTGCCTCGTCCCTCTGGTCCCGGTCTGCTCCCTGGTGCGGGGCCCGCATGGGGGCGTGCGCTCTGATCCCAGTCTCCAGGCGTCCTCAAGGGCACTGCAACTGGCTCCGTTTCCTTCGGTGTCTCGTCATCTCTTAGTTACCTGGAAACCTCTGTGCTTCACTAAAGTGTGCCTCATTGTGAAATTTCCTCTTTTACTGTTTTGTTTTATTGTGTTTATATAACAAAGATAAGCTGGTGTTTAATTTAGTTAGAATGACCCTAAAAGGTGAATCATGTTTTCTGTGCCCTTGAAGTATTTGGTTGAAGTATTTTGTAATTTGGAACTTGTTCATTCTGAGATTGTTTATTAAGTTAAATCTAAGTAATTTTTAATAAATAATCATAATAACTAATGTCAGTTAAGGCACGTGCTTCGTTGCCGATTTGGTTTCTTGGTTGGAAACAAACTGGATCAATGCTGCTTCTTTGCAGGGTGACCTGAAGGCCTACCTGCGCAGCGAGCACGAGCACCTGCGGGGCGACGCGCAGACCCTGCTGCTGCAGAGGATGGCGTGTGAGGTCGCCGCGGGGCTGGCCGCCATGCACAAGCTGCACTTCCTGCACAGGTGGGTCCGTCCGGAGGCGCCTCGCAGGTGCTGGGGTCGCGCTGGAGAGGCAATGCGTGTGTCCAAGCCAGAAGCTTCAGCAGGCAGGCTGTGGGGTCCTCAGTTTAAGAGGTAGGGGCTGACCCGTGCTTCCCAGTGTCGGAGTCAGGGTGAGCTGGGCTCCGTTTAAACCACACCAGGAAATAGGGTGTGCAGCCTAAGGTCTAGAAATCATTTCCCAAATTTCAGACAGTGCCCAAGCTGTACGTTGCTCAGTGTTGAGAAGAACGGTCTTAGTCTGCCCCTCGACATGTCTAGGTGTCCTCATGTCCACTTTGGGGTCTGGTTCTGACGCCGGGCCTCACGATATGTCCCAGGGACTTCACCAGGAGAGGAGAGAGACCTGATAGGCTTACGCCATCTTTTCATAGAAGGTCAGAGTACTGGTCTCTGGCCAGCGCTCCGAGGGGCCTACCCTTGTGAGCTTGTTAGGAGGTCAGGGGTTTCGTGAGCAGCACAGCAGCTGGGACGCGTTTCTCTAGAAACCTTTCTGGTCCTATGCAAGTCACCACAGCTGCGTGGAGCACATTGCGTTTGGCTGAGGTCATCGGTGCAGGCTCTGTGATCAGACAGCAGAGCGCTTTCATTCGGTCCTGCCTGGGATGGCGGCTCTGCTCAGCCCCCGCTAGTTTCCTGAGCTCTGGTACAAGTTTACAGTGTGTGTAAATCTGGTACAGGTTTACGGTGTGTGTAAATCTGGTACAGGTTTACGGTGTGTGTAAATCCGGTACAAGTTTACAGTGTGTGTGAAATTACTTCTCGGGGCTCCCGGGGAAACCAGGCAGTGTCTTTTTAGTTGAGTTTAATTAAATCATTTAACTCTTAATAATCCAAAGGCTTGAAAAGGAACACCTGTGTGTATTGACATGAAGAACTATCAGTGAGGTATTATATTTTCAAAAAGCAGGATGGACTGGCATGTGTTTATAGAATAACTTTATTTTTTTATTTTTAGAGAGAGGAGAAGAGAGAGAGGGAGAGAAACATCAGTGTGTGATTGCTTCTCACACACCCCCCACTGGGACCTGGCCCACAGCCCAGGCATGTGCCCTGACAGGGAATCGAACTGGCGACCTTTTGCTTTGCAGTCCAGTGCTCAGTCCACTGAGCCACACCAGCCAGGGCTATAGAATAACTTTTTTTTTTTTTTAAAGAAAACACTTGGCTGTATTTGTAGAGGAGTGTGTGTGTACACAGACGTGGAAAAGTACCTTTCAGATTCTCAGCATTACTTCAGAGTAGGGAAGGGGGAACATTGTTAAAATTTGTCTCACACATCTATACATCATTTGACCTGCATCATGAGCAGATCATTCTGAGAAAGTGCTTTTTAAAACATCCAGGAGATGGCGGGTTTCTTTAGGCTCCTTACACAAAACCGCATAGAAAGATCTGTTTGTTTTGAAATGGAGCAAGCTTATGTTTCATTTTTTTAAAAGATTTTTAAAATTTATTTATCTTTAAAGAGGAAGGGAAGGAGAGAAGGAGAGAAACATCAATGTGTTGTTGCCTCTCAAGAGTCCCCTGCCGGGAACTGGCCTGCAACCCAGGCATGTGCCCTGACTGGGAATCGAACCGCAATCATGTGGTTCGCAGGCCCGCACTCGATCCACTGAGCTATGCCAGCCAGGGCCATTTTTAATCTCATATAACAGGTAGTGCACAACACTTTTGTATTGTTAATTTTCCGTTAGATACGGACAGTGATTGCCGAATTAGTGGTGTAGGTGTTTCCAGGTTTTGGAGAGCTGAGCAGGAAGAGGAGCGCCTCAGAACCAGCAGCAGGAAGCGGTCAGGGAGCTGGAAAGTGCGTGAAGCCCGAGTACAGTTTGACTGTTGCATTTTAAAAATCAGCAAAGACTTCAGAGGAAGTGTTATTTTCCTGTGAGTTTTTTCAGGTTAAAGTTTTACTTTATTTAGAATCTCGTGAACTTTAGAGCAAATAAAGATAAATTAGATCACGTGGTTTGGATTTTATTCAGGTAAAAAAACCTCAAGGGAAAGAATGTTCTTGAGCTCTGGCTGGTGCAGCTCAGTGGATTGAGCGCTGGCCTGTGAACCAAACAACCATGGTTCGATTCCCAGTCAGGGCGCATGCCTGGGTTGCAGGCCAGTTCCCAGCAGGGGATGCACGAGAGGCAACCATGCATTGGTATTTCTCTCCCTCTCTCCTTCCCTTCCCCTCTAAAGATAAATAAATAAAATTAAAAAAAAAAAAGAATGTTCTGGAAACCATTGACGGTGGTCTCATTTCATTTTTAAAAAATTCCATATGGGACAGAATTTTGGGCTTTCAGGGTTTGGTTTTTTTTTTTTTTGTCGGTAGCACGCTGTAGAGCATTTTCAAAGTTGGAATTTAGAATATCTATTGGCTGACTCAAAGTCACACTTTCTGTGTTGGTTGAAAATAGAACAGCCCATGTATCCAGCTGAAGCTGCTAGCTACGTTTGGAAACTGATGTAGTAAAGGGCCCCGATTAGGTTTTATTTTTGCTTGTTGTTTATGAAGACACCTGTGCCTGGGTCTAGGTAGCCTGCATTTCTTAAGCTGCACACGGGACATTCGTGACATTCAGTAACTTCCAGTTACTTTGCTTGCCAGTTGTTACCAGGAATTCAGGTTATTCGGGGAAGCGTCAGCAGGTCACATATGTGGAGGTATGGAGGGTCTCTGAATGGCCGCAGTGACCTTGTGCTGCTGGTCACAGCAGCCCTTCTGCAGATGGGTGTGAGCTGAGGACCAGTGGTGGCGATGCCTCCTGGGGACCTGGGGTGGGGACCCCCAGTTCCTGTGTCGCTACAGCGAGGGGTGAGCCAGGGCCTGGAGGGAGCCTTTCGGGCTGGATTGCTTGGCGCCTCCCCACTGGACCTGTTCTTCAGCTCGAAGGAGGAGTACACTGGGCGTGTTTGCGTTTCCTGGCCGGAGCCAGCCACTGACGTCAAGAGTTATTTCTGCTGTTAAGAAGTTACACCTTGTGTTGTCCTCAGCTTTAGCTTCACATGTTTTGGGCTTCAGAGAGTGTCTATTTTTACCAAATTTGAACCACTTCTTACATTTTGAGAACATTTTACATGCATTGTCCTTATAAAAACCTTGTGAAGCAGCCCTCGCAGACCCATCCCTATTGCTTTTGTGGGGACATCGAGGCTCTGACCTGTGAAGTGACTGGCCCAGAGTCACACACTTGTGAGGTGGAGGAGATGAGACTAGTCCCCAGTCCGACTGGGGGACGGGGGTGTTTGGAGCACACCCGCCCCAGGCACGTGGCTGTCTCGTCCTCACCCGTCGCCTCTGGTTGCAGTTATGAGAGGCGCCCTCCTGCCCCCGAGACTGCCAGTGGGGCTGCACGTGACACCTTGCACGTTACCCGACCTTCACATTTGCATCTTGAAGACCCGTAGTGACCATGCGTAGGGAGAGGAGGGGGACCCTGGGCACCTGGGCACCCGGGCACCCAGAGGTGCTCCAGTGGCCTGAGGAGAATGTGCTGGGCACTCTGAAAGGTGCAGTAGCCAGCCTCACACCTGAGAGGACACCAGCTGTTCATTCTGGTCCCAGGAGGGCGGGGTGGGGCAGGCTGAGAAGGGTCTTTTTGTAGTGACCCCGGAAGGGCTTGTTAGTGGGGCTCAGTAGCAGAACCTCTGTCAGCACGACCTGTGCCCTGTCCAGGGTGCAGAGCCCACCTTGAAGCCCATGCTCCTGCCCCCGGTGGGGTCCTGCCTCTGCCTCCTCTCCTTCCTTCTCTTCATCCCCCAAACAGGGGCCAGTTCTGTTCTCTGGACTGGAAGTCTCTCTTTAAGTCACATTGTCTGTGACAGTGCTTTCAGGGGCGCCCAGGTCTTTCCCAGACACATCCACAGTCCTGAAGGCTTCTGGATGGAGCACCAAGAATCACATGTAAGCAGAGGCTACATGGAGAGGGATCTAATGCAATGAATGGGAGATTAACTGGAAACTCAGATCAGCACATTCGTGTATTGTTGTCAGTAGTTACTGGTGGCGGAAGGGTTGAAATGCTCTGGAACAGTGTCTCACCAGCTTTGTGACCCTAACAAAGTGACTTACATCCCCTGAGCCTGGGTGTTCCTGTCTGTAAATAGCACTCACCTCCACGGGTGGTTGTGAAGATCAAATGAGCCAGTGAGCCAACAACACACGTGAAATGCTTAGAGAAACGTCTGTGTACAGTGAGTGCTTTGTAAATACCGGCCGCTAATGTATCGTTGGGCCACGGCCAGGTGCCAAGCTGCCATTGAATTGTGTCAGCGTCATTTACTGTTGCGTCATTCTCATTGTGTCTGCATTTCAGACAGGTGAGTTCTGGAAATCAAAATCTTGAACAAAGTGAGAACTTAAGAATTAGTTTAAGTGTTCGGTCTTCTGTAGTCACATAAAGACAGACTTTTAAAAAGAGTTTATTTGTAGAGGAAGGTTGTAGGGAGGGAGAAAAAGGGAGAGAAATATTGATTGGTTGCCTCTCACTCCCAACTAGGGACCTGGCCTGCAACCCAGGCGTGTGCCCTGACCAGGAATCGAATTGGCAACCTTTTGGTTTGCGGTTTGCTGGATGATGCCCAACCCACTGAGCTACCCCAGGCAGGGTGACAAACATTTTAAGTTGTGGACTATAAAGATTCAGTTTCTGATAACTTTTATTTATGATTTAAAATGGTAAGTTAGTATCCATTTATGCTTTAATTTAGTGGCCTTGGTTGTTTGTATGCCAGTTGATGATTGAGAACATCCTAAGGGCTAATGCCAACGTTTTAAAAATTTAATGTTTTATTTTTAAAAAATAATTTTTTCTTCTCAGATTATGTGTTTTTGAAAATTAGCTTGTACTTAAATAAACTACATAAAGACATTGTTTTAAGTAAGTCTTGAAAATACGCTCTTTACCTCCCTCGGGGGAGGTGGCATTTGAAGGGACGCGAGCAGTTTGACAAGGGTCTTCTCGTTAACACCCGCACACCTCTGAGAAAGGGGTTCACAGGCAAGCGTGTTCAATAATGTGGGTTGAGGGGGCTCAAAGTCGTTAATAGCAAAAAAAAATTCAGACAGTGTAGACAGTAGTGGTTTAGAGGTCTTTCTTGGTCACTCTTAAGACAGTAGGGGATGAGCTGTGACTCTGTCACTGGTGCGGAACAAGGCAGGGCTGTGGCCAGTGTTTAACCTTAGCAGTTACAGTTATTTGGAAAAATCTCTGATCATCTCCATTGTTGAAGTAATTCAAACTATGATATCCTTTTTTCGATACAAAAAAAGAATTTTAAAGCAGAAACGATTAAGCAGGGAGCTCGACGTCCTACCCTGGTTCCTAGAAAAGCCCTTCCCATAGCACTGCGGTCAGTCGCACCGTCCTCTCCTGGGTCTCCCCGTCTGTGCGCGTGGTCACGCCGCTCTCTCTGTTTTCAGTGACTTGGCCTTGCGGAACTGCTTTCTTACCTCGGACTTGAATGTGAAAGTGGGAGATTACGGAATAGGATGCAGCAGGTACAAGGTAAGCCGCAGGCTGAAAGGGTCTGATGTAATCGTTCGTGGTCCCGAGGGGGTGCTGTCACAACGCAGCTCCGTTTTGGGAAGAGCGGTTGGTTCTCGTCGTTTCAGTGGGAGTGTTGGCTTCCGATGTGCTGTTTTTCTAACCCAGTGGCTTTGTACCTGAGGCTCAGCGACAGCCTTCCAGACACTTTGCTTAGAGAGACTTACGGTGAGTGCAATGGATACAATTCGAGGCTGCTCAGGGAATGTCAGTGTGCACGTGGCAGTGTGGTTACGAGCACGCGTGCAACGCAGGACTCGCCATGTCAGTGTTTCTCCAGTAGAAGTTTGGCTCAAGGTCAGTGGGCTCGGGATTTAGGTTTTTAAAGTCTGTCAGAAACAGCCCCAGAGAAAACAAGGAGGAGGTGAGGTTTTGGTCTGTGTGTGCACGCAGCCCAGCGGCAGGAAGTAGCCGGGCGCGGGCAGGGAGGGCACAGGCCTGGTTCCACGCTGCCCGGACACCTGGAAAAGGCCACTTGACCTCGTTTTCTGCAAGCAACATGAGCACAGCATCTGTTCTGTCTGTGGTGTTCGTGGAAAGACCAGAGGGGCCACATTTGCGCAGTGCTTTGTAGCTAAAAAGTGTCAGGTGAGTGTGAGTTGGCCGTTTGTCTACACAGCAGCTCAAGGGTCTGGCTCTTGCTGTATGTATATCAGGTGCTCCGAGGGACTTGCCTGCGTTCTCTCAGGCTTCGCCCCAAGGGGAGGGAGGTCTTGAATCACCTCATTTTACAGATGAGGAAATAGGTCCAGCTTTTTCTTTTCTGCCCAGAGTCGAGCAGCTGGTAGATGGTTGAACGTGGCCTTACAGCCCAGTCTGTCAGATTCTGAAGCCCGCGCCCGTAGGACCTGGCTCCACGCCCCTGCCTGGGGCACACAGCCCGGCTCCTGAGCTCACAGCCTGCATTCTGGGCCTCAGACACGGCGACTGCCCTTTCCCGGGAAGGAATGCTGAGCGGGGGGTGGGGTGGCGCACAGACCAGCTCGTGAAGCCCTGGAGGCTTCGGAGAGCCCACGCTGCACCTGGAAGGTCTCTCTCCGTGCCCTTTTGGTTAAGTGTGTGTTTTCTAAGAATGTCCTGGAATTAAACCATTGAGCTCGTTAAAAGTATAATGGAATTCAAAATTCTGTGTGCTTTCTAACAAACAGGAGGATTATATTGAAACAGATGATAAAAAGGTTTTCCCTCTGCGATGGACTGCTCCAGAATTAGTGACCAGCTTTCAAGACAGACTACTGACTGCAGATCAAACTAAGTATAGTAACATTTGGTACGTATTGATTTACCATTCTGTTAGGCTTTCGTGTAGCAAAGTCCCAACTCTCTCTCCTGGGGCACTTCCTTAAAGGAAAGTCACTGAACAAGATGTAGGGACACGGCCCTGGCTTGTGTGTCTCAGTGGTTTGAGTGCTGGCCTGCAAACCAAAGGGTCGCCAGTTCAATTCCCAGTTAGGGCACAGGCCTGGGTTGCATGCTGGGTCTTCAGTGGGGGACGTGCAAGAGGCAACCACACATTGATGTTTCTCTCCCTCCCCCCTGTCTAAAGTAAATAAATGAAATCTAAAAAAAAAAAAGTCGTAGGTACACAGATGCAAGTGTGCCGATTGTGTGAGAAAGGCAGCTTACTGCCATGGCAGCGGTCACAGTTTCAGTGACATAATTAGCTTTCCAAACACTGCCTCGTACCCATTCAACTGGGAGCTCCACACGAGCGGGACTGCAGGCCATTTTCTGTGCCTGCCACAGGCAACCCCCCCCCGCGTGTGCCGCACGCGCAGTGAGTGTGCCTGGAAGGCGCTGAGAACGCGGGCAGTGTGCCCCGTGGTGGCGCAGCGCCGGGGCTCACGGGAGGGCCACGTCCTCCACTCGCAGTTTCTCTTCCGGCTTCCGTAATGTGTCTCCGACTGTCTGTGCTGTCGCTCTGCTTTTTCGACTTTCCCTTTCCCCTCTTACTTTGTTTTTGGATTGGCTTTTTGACTGCCTTTTCCCTCTTGGTTTAGGGGATGTGTACCCTATCCCTGTACTCTCAGCGGTTTGCCCACAAATGACAGCATGGGACCTTACTTCACTCAGCTTAGTCGAATCTTAGGTCGTATTTTGGCCCACTTTCTGAACAATCTAAGGGTTTCGAAATACTGGTTTTTAGCATTAGCCTTTGTTTAGCTTCTTCATTCCTTTTTTTCCTTTAAATCTTGGGTCTTCCATCTGGGATTACTCCCCTTTTGCCTGAAGTATGTCCTTCAGAATTTCCTTTAGTGAGTGTCTGCTGGTAGCAGACCCCCCGGTGTTCGTAGGTCCGAGCATCCTTTTTGGCCTCATTCTGTAAATGCACTTTTGCCTGATGACCGTTATCTCCTCTCAGCCTGCCGTGAGCGCTGTTCTGCCCGCTCCCCATTGCTGCCAAGCGTCGGGGGCGCCTGCGGGGGCTCCGAAGGCGTGGCTCTGCTCTCTGGCAGCTGCAGCCCTTCTCTGCATCCGTCTTGTATGTGTGTGGGTATCTTTTCCCTTTCTTTCTTTTTTTAGAAAGGTTTTTATTTATTTTTAGAGGGGAAGGGAGGGAGAAAGAGAGGGAGAGAAACATCAATGTATGGTTGCCTCCCGTAGACCTGGTCCCACAACCCAGCCATGTATCCTGACTGGGAATCAAACCAGCGACCCTTTGGTTCACAGGCCGGTACTCAATCTGCTGAGCCACGCCAGCCAGGGCTCGCTTTCTTTCTCTCTTTTGTAGTTGCACTGTGATGTATATGGATGTGGATTTCCTGCTTTTCAACTTGGGATTTATTTGGCTTTAGTCTGTAGGTTAATAGGGTTCTCACCCCTTAACCTTAAAGTTTTGCTTCCCCCCCCCCTTTTGGGACTCTAATAGACGAGTGTTGTGTGTCCTTCCTCTGTCCCCTGTCTTCCTGTGCCCCGTCTCTTTGACTCTACGCCACATTCCAGGTAATTTTTCAGAATGGTGGTCCAGCCACTAATTCTCTTTCTCTTTCTAAAATTCTCTCTCCAGCTGTGCCTAACCTTCTATTAAGTCTCTTTATTAAGTTTTACAGTTCAGTTTTTGATTTTTCAGTGTTAGAAGGTCTGTGTGATTTTTAACAATTTGCTCCGGTGTCTAAAAACTGGGTCATACTTTGTATCTGGAAATGGCAATGTTGAAAGTCCCTGTGTATGTCATCTTGCTGCTCGGTGGTGTCTTGTTTCCTTGGGGACTTCTGGTGGCGAGGGTCTGGGAAACAAGAATGCGGGACCTTTGCTCCCATGGGGCACCCTGGCGTTCTGCCTGTGAGTGCACTTCCTAGTCCCGGGTTTCCCGTCCGCTTGAGAGTTTGGACGGGATTTGCGCTGCAGATCCAGGTAAGGGCCAGCTCTGTGCTTACAACTTCTTAGTGACTACCCCAAGCCCGCATCACATTTGCTGCCTCTCTGTGCCCAGGCAGCCTGCCCCTCAGGCACCCAAGTGGGGGGCAGCCTTATTCCCACTGTGAGTCCCCGTACTTGGGGCAGGCCAAGGCCTCAGACTGCCCACCACCCCCCCTTCACCAGCAGCGCCCCATCAGGCCTTGCAAAGCAAAGCACAAGCCGGGTGCTGTGCTCCAACGGAGGCCCCAGAGCAGAGGCGGGTGCAGTGCTCTCTGCCAGTCCCGGTTGGGGCTTTGTCCTGGTGACTCCCCGCTCTTTCGTGTGCTCACGTTCCACGCCTCCGAGAAGATGTGTTTTCTGCTGTACTCACGTCCTGACCCTTCTCAGCAGCGAGGGTGACCCTTGTTTCCGCCAGTTTGAGAAGTCACTAGCGGCAGGAATGGCAGCAGTGCCGTCTGATGGGACAGGCAGGGTCCACATGCCCAGTGCCGGGTGAGCGAGAGGGGCGGGAGCTACAGGACGCTGCTCTTCCCAGAAGAAAGAGGCTCAGAGGTTCTCCAGGAGGCTCGAGCCTGTGCGAGGTGAAGAGTCAGACAGGCCTGAGGGTGGATGGCTGGTCCCGCGTCAGCCTGAGCAGGACACCTCACTCGTCTTTCTCTGGGGCGTGTCTGAGAAGATAAGAAAGCGATGGTTAGCTGGTTGGAGCGTGGTCCCATAGACCGAAAGGTTGCAGGTTTTCTTCCCGGTCAGGGCGCATACCCAGGTTGTGGGTTCGGTCCCCGGTCAGGGCACATGGGAGAACACAACTGATTACTGTTTTCGATCTTTCTTTCTCTCTCCCCCACGCCCTGACTGCCCCGCCAAGCAATGAAAAAGTGTCCTCGGTGAGGATAAAGAAAAAAACTGTATACATGGAAAATAAAGAGGGATGCTCAAGGAAGATGTCAGTGTTCTGGGGGAAGGTTGAGAGGGCCACACCTTTGTTCTCTGAGGCAGCGGGCAGAGGGCAGGAGAGAGGCCTGTGGTTTCAGAGTGGGCCTTCGGGGCGAGCGAAGGGGTTGAATCAGGTGTGGGGACGTGGCGACGGGTAGAGTCACACGCCCGAGGTCGGACCAGGTGTGGCGGTGGTCATGCTCATTTTGCCACCGACCCTGTACCCCTCTCGTGGCCTTCAGTATCCATGCGAATTCCTTGTTCTCAGTGGAATTGTAAACCCCCTATGTCCCCGACGGTGTGGTAACTGCCGTGGTGTCCGGAGCGGCCCCGCCCAGGCGGCTCAGTGTCAGGGAGAAGGTTCTTCCTCCGCCTTGAGTTGGGTTGAGAAATCTGGGCCCTTTATTTTCTCTGATAGAAATGATCTCTCAGTTCAGATACTGAATACGCTGACTTTTTTCCTCTGACTTGTGAAAGGCAGGAGAGAATTACTATTATATCAGATCGTGAACTTGTTTATTCAGTACAGATTACTGTTTAAGCAAGCATCCTGGTGGGTATTGATCAAAGCCACTCAAAGCACCAACACCTAAACCTGACCAGGTGTTGGAGTCCGTGGGAGCCTTTAGGGACACCGTTTCTAGGCCCCACTGGCACCTACCAGCTGCGAGTCCTTGGGATGGTCACATACCCCAGCAGGGTCAGTGAGAGCTGCCTGGATGGCTCAGGTGGCCACCCGGGTTCAGGGGCCGCTGCAGTAACTGGGGGCCGGTAACCACAGCGGGAGGCAGGGAGTGGTGGGGAGCCCCCGTCCAGGGGTGAGGGGTAAGTGTCCCTCTGATGCGAGCAGCCCAGGCCTTTCCATGGGGTCAGAGCAGTGGGCAGGAGAGCAGGTGGGACCTGCAGAGGGAAGGGGCACTCCTGCCTTCGGTAAGGGCCGCGCACCTGGAGGTGCGGAGAGGCTGGCCCCCCGAGAGAGGGCGCAGGAAGGGAGGGAAACCCTTCCATGTGGCCCAGACACTCGGAGTTACTTTGGCCAGTGTGCAGGTCCGATGGGGAGGAGTTGTTTGTGTACAGCTGTGTTCCTCGTAGGTACTTTTAGGTGTTTGCAGCTGTTATGGTTGGAATTTTTTTTTGTACAATAAAACTCAGAATTCAGAATATTTATTTTTTTTTAAGATTTTATTTATTTACTTTTAGAGAGAAGGGAAGGGAGGGAGAGAAACATCATTTTAAGGTTGCCTCACATGCGCCCCTTACTGGGGACCTGGCCTGCAACCCAGGCATGTACCCTCACTGGGAATTGAACCAGTGACCCTTTGGTTTGCAGGACAGTGCTCAATCCACTGAGCCACACCAGCCAGGGCAGGATATTTATCTTTATCTGACCAGTGTGGGGAACTCTCAAATCAGTGTAATGATCTTTCACATCATTTCTCGACTCTTGAAGTTGAGAGGCCCCTCTGTGTGATGGTGCCTGTGGTCCCGGTTTCTTGTGTGCGTGTGTGTGTGTGTGTGTGTGTGTGTGTTGGCTGAAACCACTGGAGTCATGCACACCGACAGGTGTGAGGAGCCTGCTGTGGTCCTCATTTTAGTGAGAACGTCTCTTCTTGAAGTCACGTGCAGGAATGATCTGTAGTAACCTCTTCAGGATCCACCTTGTCCGGAAAGTTCCCCAGGACGGCACAGATGAAAATGTGGCTGTTTCAAATTCAGCCTCCGAAGGGAGGGAAGAGGTAACCGCTTTCTCTTTCCCGCAGGTCCCTGGGTGTGACACTTTGGGAACTTTTTGACAACGCTGCTCAGCCGTACTCCAACCTGTCCAACTCCGAGGTTCTCACGCAGGTCATTCGGGAGAGGGGCACGCAGCTCCCCAGGCCCCAGCTGGAGCAGCCGCACGCCGACAGATGGTCAGTGACCGCCCGTGTCGCTCTGCTGTCTTCCAGCGCAGGCAGACCTGTTCCCATGGGGTTTAGTTAGATAGTCCCTAGTTTTAATTGATACATGTTATGAGAACCAATCATTGTGTACTGTTCGATGTTTTTTAGAATTAACATCTATTTTTACAAGTTAGCATTATTTTTGAAAACTGTATAGAACAAGCGGGAATTTATGTATATGCGCAATAAAAAAATGAGAGGTCCAGACTCATTAGAAAAGTCAACAGTAAGGGAGTTTGCTACCGTGGAATTATTTTCAAATGAGGCTGTTTATATAAGTGACATCTAATGTGCGAGGAAAAAGATAGCATAAAAATAATATTTAAAGTGGCAGTTGAAACTAATTTGCATAATGTATGTTCACATTTGCAACACAGACTTACGAGTCTTTGGATCAGCTCCTATTCCGCTTCCCACTAGGGCTGGGTCCACCTCTCTGCAGGCCTCTGCACCCCCACCCGCCCGCCCGGCACTGCCCTGGAGCTTGGCCCCTGCACGTAGGCCGTGCTCAGCCTCCACGCTCGTTGGGACCATTGCACCCAGAGTAGCTCGACATACGTGCCACGAACTGAATACTTTGCTGTTGTCTCGGTCTTCCCGTTTGCATGTGGCTGCAGTGGTCGGCCGTACCCAGCCCCCGAAGACCCAGCTCTCGGTCGGCACTGCCTTCAGGCTTCGTTCCCTCTGTTCCCTCCGTGTTTAGCTCCTTTCATGACCTAAGGAAGCCATGTGCTGCGGAAGATGGTAGTGTTGCTGTTTCCTGGGGGAATGGTTAGGGATTAGTTACAACGGCGTTTGTCCACGTGGGTTCTTGCAGAGATCTACAGATGCAAGGGAAGTACATTCTTTCCCACAGGGTGCTGTGGCAGTTGCCTCCAGAGGACAACATATTAAAACTACTCTTTTCTAAATTCAGCAGATAAGTCCCCGGTTGAACACTGGAGGAACAAATGACAGGCAAAAGAGTTGCAGTGACCTGTGAAATGGCCTGAGGAGACAGAGATCCGTGGCCCAGTGTATTACGTCCTCATTTCCTCCCTCACGGGTCTCACTGCGAGCCACACACCTTCCTGTGGTCAGCAGTGATTAAAGTGTAGCAACTTCGGGGGTGTCGAGTTGGCTTAGGGGTTCTTCGTATCTTAAAAACAGTTTGTTTGGGTCCATTAACAGTCTCTCGTGTGCCCCTCAGGTATGAAGTGTTGCAGTTCTGTTGGTTGTCGCCAGAGAAGAGACCAGCAGCCGAGGACGTGCACAGACTGCTCACCTACCTGCGCATGCAAAGCCAGAGGGACACGGAGGTCGGCTTTGAGCAGCAGTGGAATGCTCTGAAACCCAACACGAGCAGCAGAGACACCTCCAGCAGCGCCGCATTCCCCATCCTCGACCACTTCTCCAGGGACCGGCTCGGCCGTGAAATGGAGGAGGTCCTCACCGTGACGGAGACCAGCCAGGGCCTGAGCTTCGAGTACGTCTGGGAGGCCGCGAAGCACGATCACTTCGATGAGCGCAGCCGGGGCCCCCCGGACGAAGCCCTGTCTTACACGAGCATCTTCTTTCCGGTTGAAGTGTTCGAGCGCTCTCTTTCAGATCCTGGGCCCGGGAAACAAGACAGCGGTGGCCAGGATGTCCCCGTGAGAGCCCCCGGAGTGGTTCCCGTTTTCGATGCCCACAACCTTTCTGTTGGAAGCGACTATTACATCCAGTTAGAAGAAAAGAGTGGCAGCAACTTGGAGCTCGATTACCCTCCGGCACTGCTTACAACTGAAATGGAGAACCCAGAAAGGACAAGTGACGAGGCACCTCCGTTTCTGACACTCAGGAGCCTCGACTTTGAGGAGTCCAGTACAGATGAGGATTTCTTCCAGAGCAGTACAGACCCCAAGGGTCCCAGCGTCCCTGAGGGCACGCATGCTACCCAGGGCCCCGAGAGCCCTCTCAACAGTCTGTTTAATGATCTTGACAAATCGGAGGATCTGCCCAGTCACCAAAAAATATTTGACTTAATGGAACTAAATGGAGTTCAAGCCGACTTTAAACCAGCCTCTTTAAGTTCAAGTTTGGATGACCCCAAAGACTCAGTGATGACAGGCCATTTGGAGAAAGAAAAGCCCCGTAAGCTTTTTGACTCTGAGCCTCTTTGCTTATCAGAAAACCTTATGCACCAAGATAATTTTGATCCATTGAATGTGCACGAATTGTCAGAAAACTTTTTATTTCTTCAAGAGAAAAACTTACTGAAAGACTCATCGTCTAGCAAAGAACACATAAATGATCTTCAAACAGAACTTAAAAATGCTGGTTTTACCGAAACTGTATTAGAAACTCCATGTAGAAATGCTTTAGATACTGAGCTTAGGTTTGCTGAAAATAAACCCGGCTTTCCTTTCTTGCGAGAAAGCACAAGCATGAAGGGCCAGGACGCAGGTGTGGCGCTCGGGGACCACACTTTGAGCGCCTCACTGCCATCTTCCCCGGAACTGCAGGTGCCTCCCACCTCCCTCCACACAGAAGGGACGCCTCAAAATGTACCTCCAGGCACGTTCCTGAAGCAGGGAGAAACCACGCCCAGGCATTTAGATGTCGGTATCCATGACGACGGTCTCTGCCAAGAAACAGATTTAGAATCTGTGACTGTCCCCGTTGAAATTCCCTCTGCTGATGCCAAAACACCCGGTGCTGGCCACGGGTCCCCTGACCTGGCTCACCAAAGCGAGGAGGCCTCAAGGCGAACCCAGAGCAGCGCGGTTCCCGGGGATGACATTTTTGCTGGTAGAGACAGTGTAGGGAGCAGTCTCCCAGAGCTGACACAGACCCTGCAAGACCAGCCGCTTTCAGAAGACCACCGCAGCAACAGCCTGCTCGAGAAAAACCTGGAAGCTGTGGGTACTTTGAACCCGCTGGATTGTAAAGATGCTACCAAAGAGGGGGGCTTGGTGTCCGCCCTTTCCTCCGACTCTGCCAGTCAGGACAGCCTCTTAGAGGACAGCTTGTCAACCCCCATTCCAGCTTCAGAGCAGTCGATGGAGACCCCGGACTCTCTGGACTCAGTGGACGTCCATGGGGCTCTGTTGGGTTCTTTTGGCTCTCAGTCTCCCCAGAAACTCTTACCTCCTGACAAGCCTGCTGACAGTGGGTATGAGACAGAGAACTTGGAGTCACCGGAGTGGACTCTGCACCCTGCCCCCGATGGCACCTCAGCCTCAGACGCGGCCGCAGCAGGTGACAGTGGTCATGGTGAGTTGCCTCCCAACCCTGTCATTGTCATCTCAGATGCAGCCGATGGCCCCAGAAGTACCGAAGTTACCTCACAGACTTTCGCACCTGGCTCTCAGAGCTCGTACCGAGACTCTGCTTACTTCTCAGATAATGATTCTGAACCCGACAAGAAGTCGGAGGGGGTCCCAGGAACCTCCGTGTCCGCCATGGCTTTGGTGACAGATCAGCCCCTGCCTGGGCCAATCATCCCAGAGCAAAGTCCTGGCACCAAGGACAGTTGCCTGGAAACCAAAAATAGGCAGCCAGACCAAAGTTGTCTCTCCACTTTGCAAAATTCCAGTCTCCTGGAATCCAGAGAAGCATCAGAACCTGCTCTGACCGGCGTTTCCAAAGAGCTGCCTGCTCCTGAAGATGGGGCTGGCAGCCCCTCAAGTGTGTTGAACTCTGAGCTGAGCAGTGGTGAGGACTTTGAGGCACCGGAAGAGCGCCCCTGCACGATCGTGTCCACCGGGACGAACACCAACGAGCTCCTTGCGTTTGCCAGTTCCACCCTGCGCTCCGGCAGCCCGCCCGACCTGCCGGTGGACAAGTCCTTGCCCAGCCACTCGGAGGGCCCCAAGCTGAAGGAGCCGGATATCGAAGGGAAGTACCTGGGGAAGCTGGGCGTGTCAGGGATGCTCGACCTCTCTGAGGACGGGATGGATGCGGATGAGGAAGACGAAAACAGTGACGACTCGGACGAAGACCTGCGGGCGTTCAACCTGCACAGCCTCAGCTCCGAGTCGGAGGACGAGACCGAGCACCCGGTGCCCGTGATCATCAGCAATGAGGACGGGAGGCACCTGCGGAGCCTGCTGAAGCCCCCGGCCGCTCTTGCCATGGACCAGCTGCCAGATGACTGGAAAAAAGAAAAGAAGGCCGTGACATTTTTTGATGATGTCACAGTCTATCTGTTTGACCAGGTATGTTACCTCCAAACTGTCATGATAGAGAATTCCAAAATGTGGTAGGGAATTGAGTGTGCTCTGTTTTCCTAATTCTCATTCTGAGGCCACAGATTGCTTTATGATTACTCAAAAAAAAAAGAAGAAATTTGCAGTTGGTTGCCGTTGCAGTTTCAAGAATACGCAGAAGTGTAGCTTGCACAGGGAACTCCCGTGAAACTAAGGGACGGCATCTGCGCGCTCTTCCTGGGTCTCCCAGGAGAGGCCTGCTGCAGTGGGTTTCCCCTCCCAGAGCAGGTTTTCGGGATCTGACAGTTGGCGGCGGCACCCAGCGTGTGCAAGCTGGGGCGGCCTGGCTCCTGGGCCGCCCACAGACGCCGCCCTGCGCAGTCAGTGCCTGGGTGGCGCGGGGTCTGTGGCCCTGCCCCCCTGCAGCACGGCAGGTGGCCTGCCATGCCCACCAGGTGGGTGCAGACTTTACCTTCTTTCAAAATGACCCAGCCAATAATTCAAAGATTAAAAAAAAAAAAACTCGTTGTTGATTAGCCTCTGTGGTCCTTGAATTTGCTTCTTGAATCAGCTGGATTGGAAGTAAAGCTCCGTCACAGACATGTCTGAGTAGGGTCCCTTTATGCTCCAGGTGTGGGAGTCCTTGGCCCTTGTCTCCTTAAAGCCACCTGCCCTCCTGTTGTATTAGTCCTTGAAGTTGAGACTGTCACAGCCTCTTGTCAGCACTGTGCTCCTGCACTCTGCTCTTCTGGCTGGTTGCGTCTTCTCAAGGACGCGAACAGACGGACTCAGCGTAGAACCTTTGCAGGCTGGCTCCTTCCTGTCAGTGTGAGTTTCCTTTGAGATTGGTCCCAACCGTGTGGTGGACAGTCCTTCCCCTGTGTTGCTGAGCCGTGTCCGGGGCTGGGTGTGCCCAGATGGTGTTGGCGACCCCCTCACAGGGACAGTCTGGGTGTTCCCTGTGGGGCTGCTAACAGACAAGGCTCCTTTGAACAGCCGGGTTTCTGTGTGGACACACATTTTGGGGGGGACGAGTGTCCAGGAGTGTGATTGCTGGGTTGTGTGGCGAGTGTGTTTAGGTTTTACAGGGAAATGACTCTTCCCAGTGGCTGCACCATTTTCCACCTCCACCAGCAGTGTGGAGAGAGCGGCCTCGCTCCGCCTTCGCCGTGGTCTCCCCGCTGGCTCTCCAGCAGGCGCGGGGCTCCTTCCCGGTCGGGGCGGCAGGGGCACTCCCGGCAGCCGGCTGGGGGGGCTGCGTGTCTTGTCTTATGCTCGCGTGTTCCTTGTGCGTGTTTGCTGTCCGCGTGTCCTCGTCAGTGACGTTCTCCACCTTCTGCCCGTTTTCTAACCAGTTTCTAACCAGCAGGCTTGGTTGGAATCGGGGTGTGATTCTTCTGTTGTTTTCATTCCTTTTTAAAATTCTTTTGGCTTTTGTAGTTCCTTTAATTTTCCATATAAATTTTAAAATCGGCTTGTCTGTAGCTTAAAAAAAACCTTACTGCAATTTTGATGGGAATCGCATAAAACCTGAAGGTCAGTTTGGGAAGAACAGACGCGGCTTATGGCCACGGAGGGCCTCGCCTGCGAGTTCTTCCCATGTTGCGTCGTTTCCAGCACACGTGTCCTCGCTGTTTCGTTAGGTTTGTAACCAGTGTTCCATTTTCTGAGGAGCCGGTACAAAAGGTAACTTTGAAATTCTGGGTCTTCTCTGTTCCTTGCCAGTGTGTGGAAACGTGATTGGTTTTTGGGTTGGCCTTGTCCTGCTGCGCTCGCTCACTGCTCCGAAGAGGTTTTCTGTTTGCGTTTTTATTTTTCAGACTTCTTAATGGTGTCTACACAGTCGGTCATGTTGCCTGCAAATAGGGGCAGGGGCACTTCTGCCTTTGCAGTCTGTGAGCCTCCCATTTCTTTGCCTCCCGCACTGCACTGGTGGGGACCGGGTGGGCCTGGCGGGAGTGGTGTCCTGGCCCGGAGCCCGGCTGGAGGACAGCAGCAGTCTTCGGCGTGGACTGTGACATGGGGGTTTTGTGGGCATGCTGATCAAGTGAAGAAGGTTCTCTCCTCATCTTGGTTTGAGAGAGTTTCGATCCTAAATGGATGCTGAGTTTTGTTAGATGTCCTTCGTGCATCAGTGGCCCTTCTGTTACTGTGTGCATACGGTGGTCGGTCACACTGATCATCAAACGTTGACCTAGCTTTGCCTCCTGGAACACAGCCCGCTTGGCTGTGGCATTTCATTCCGGTTCTGTGTTGCTGGACTTGGTTTGCAGGCATGTTGTTGAGGGTTTGGTGTCTGTCCAGGAGGTTTAGTTTCGGGGGGTGTTTGTTTGCTTCTTTGGCTGATCGGGGTTTTTGGTGTTTCGTTGTTGCTGTTTTTGGCATTGCCCTTGGTTTTGGTGTCGTGGTGATGCTGGTCTCATAAAATAAGTTGGGAAGCATTTTTCTCCTCCTGTTTCCGAAGGGATTGTGGGGATTCTTGATCTTTTTGAAGAAACTGCTCTTGGTTTCATGGAACGCTTTCTCCTTATAATTTTCTTTTCAACTTTATTGACTTCTGTTTTATTGTTGTCATTTCTTTGCTTCCCCGTGCTTTAGTGTTATTTTGCTCTTCTTTTTCTAGACTCTTAAGGAAGATGCTTAGGATTTAAGACCTTTCTTCTTTCTAATAGTAGCAGTTAATGTTATAAATTTCCTTCTACATACACTTCAGCTGCATCCCACAAATTTTAGTGTTGTATTTTCATTCACTTCAAAATATTTTCTAATTTTTCTCAAAGCTTCCTCCTCGACCCACAGATTATTTATAAATGTGTTAATTTGCAAGCCTTCCATGGGTCAGCGGTTCCCCTTTCAAAGTCTGCTGCACCGTGTGGAACCGGCACAGCCTGGAATGCAGAGCAGGCACCGGGGGGCAGAGAGCTCTGGAAGCTCTTCGGTGCTGGTTCCAGAAGCAGCAGGAGGGGTCTTCTGACGCCAGAGAGAGGGGAAGGTATCCTTTTGCCCCCCCTTTTCTCTTGCTCCCCGCCCCAAGCAATCCCAGGGTAGCGGCAATGGAGGGGCCAGGTGCCCGTGCTCATGAGGGGAGTGGATGTCCTCCTCACCTGCAAGGCCTGTGATCCCAAGAATTAGAGTGAGGAGAACCCCTAATGCTCTTTTTTTGTTACTATTTTTAGAGAAAGAGAACAACATCAATTTGTTGTTGCACTTATGCATTTATTGGTTGCTTCCTGTAAGTGCCCTTTCTGGGATCAGACCCCAAACCTTGACGTATGGGGATGATACCCCAACCAACTGAGCCACCTAGCCAGGACCATTAGGTGCTGCTTTACTTCCCTGTGCTCCCGTGCGGAGCTGCAGAAAGTGTGCGGTGTGGTGCCGTGGCACAGGTCCTGGCTTTCCGGCCGGAGGACCGAAAAGGGAAGGCCCAAGACATCAGAAGATACCGTGGATGCCACAGAGAGTGAGGCACGCAGACAGGCAGCCCCACGGAATTGTTTCTGAGCTCCAGGCTTGCCTCCGGGCTGTGCCTGGCAGCAGGCGGGACCCGACACAGCACAGTGAAGCTTTGAGACCTGAGCAGTTGGCGGACCCCTGCCCCAAGGTCCAGTCTGGCCAGTGGGTGGCACATGCACTGGACAGGTACAGGAGTCCAGTCCAGGAGCTGTGGTGGGGAGGTCATGCTCACCGCTGGTTTGGTGTCCTTGAATTCTGGCCTCCTTGCTGCTGTTCACTTCTCAGGCTCGGAGTGGCTGCTTCGTGCCTTCTGCCCGGCTTCAGAGCTGCATGCAGTGAGAGAGACGGGGCTGTGTGTTCCTTCCCCACCTCCCAGGGCTGGGGTCCGCCTGCTCTAAGAGGAGCGTTGCACAGCCAGTCGGTCAGATGTGCTGTGGCCTGTTGCTGACGGGCTCTCTGCTTGGCTTTCCAGGAGACCCCAACCAAAGAGCTGGGACACCACGGAGCAGAGGCGCGTGGCCCGGAGCGGGGCGGCCCCACGCCGTCGTCAGGCCCCCCCTGCCTGGGCAGGTGCATGAACTCTGAGAGCTCCACCGACGAAGAAGGTATTTTACTTCACAGACGGGTTTTAAAAAAACTAAAAAGGGTGCATTGGTGTCACGTAAACTCCTTGTGGATGACGGCAGATACTGCTTTGAATGACGCCGGTGACACGGGCAGCAGCTCCGCCAGCTGCCGGGCCCGATCGGTGTTTGCCGACCTTCGGAGTGCGTCTGTGTGTTTGCTCTTGGCTCTGTGCTGCGAACCATCAAAGGAGAGTGATGCCTTGTTTTGTGCTTGTAGGCGGAGGCTTTGAGTGGGATGACGACTTCTCCCCAGACCCTTTCATGTCAAAGACAACAAGTAACCTCCTGAGTTCCAAGCCTTCTCTGCAGACGTCAAAGTACTTTTCACCGCCACCGCCGCCACCCCGGAGCGCCGAGCAGAGCTGGCCCCATGTGGTGCCGTACTCCAGGTTCTCCATCTCTCCCGCCAGCATCGCCAGCTTCTCTCTGACACACCTGACCGACTCGGACATTGAGCCAGGAGGTGAGGGGTGCTGGGGTGCTCGGCCGGGAGCCTGTCCTGCCGCACTTGAGTGTGTGTTGACCCTCCTGGGTGGGTGGGGTGTAAGGAATTCTTTGTGCAGCAGCAGCCGCCTCCATAGTGTGCTCTCGGGGCCACTGCCACCCACAGGCTGAGTGCTGCTTGCAGGCGCCCCTTCCCGCCCCCTCTGGGCCGGGCAGCCTGGGCGGAGGCAGGACGTGTCCCAGCGTGGGGCCTCCTTCTCCTGTCCACTTTTCCACCTTTGCTCCCAGCCACCCTGCTCCCATCTCTGTTTCTTTCTCCCCTGGAGAAGTAGTTTCTCGCAGAGCTCATGGTCTGGAGAACACTTGGCCCGGGTTTTGGGGTCGAGCCCAAATGCACCAGGGTTCTTCCCAGGACTGTTGGTCTTGCCAATAAGTCTCGGTCTTCACAGGGCACCAGAGGGCCTGGGCGGGGCCGTTCAAAGGGCTGTTATCTGAACACTCGTACTCTTTTCTCCCCATAACGAGATTGGAAGATTAATGTTAATAGGTGCATTTTTTCATTTGGAGTTTGCAGATCAAATAATAACTAGGAAATGTAAAGAGCTCTTGTTTGTGTTTGTGCTGAGCTTAATTGTGCTGATTAGATAATGCCCAGGACCTGCCGCTCCGTCAGAGGAGCAGGTGGGTGCCAGTTAGAGCTGATTTTCTCCCGTGCCCTCAGTCTTGACATTGACCCGGCATGGGAGCTGAGCAGATGTGGTTGCAAGTCTGGCAGGGACAGCCGCCCCGGCAGGAACACACGGGGCTCGGCAGGTGGTGGGTGTCCGCGCTGGCAGCTTCAGTTCCTTTTTCTGCCTTGCAGGTCAGGTGCCGGCCAGACTGTTTTTATCTGTGACGACCGTTTTAAACCCCGCTTTGCTTGCTCTCTCCTCAATAGGAAGCAGTGAAGATGGAGAAAAGGATTAGATGGACACCGATGCACTCTCGGGTCCCAGGCTGCTTCCCCGGGGCGGCGGTCCTGCACTGCCAGCCAGGCAACACCGTGCTCCGGACATCTGCTGAGACGGGACAGGGAGAGGGACGGAGGAGGTGGGGAGGGCACCGGCCCTGGGTCTGTGCCCGGGGCCCACGCAGGAAGCCCGTCTCGGGAGACGTGGTCCTGTCCAGTGCGGTTTGCTGCCCTGGTGGCTGCTCGTGCCCGCTAAAGATGCTTGGGCTCTGGTCGTCCTTACGGAGGGCTGGCCCTGCTCGGGTGCGCAGGGAACTGGGGGCTCCCAGCTGTTCCTCATCTCCACGCGGTGTTCTCTGCGTCCACCCTACATCCTGTCTGCACGGGGGCCCAGAGGACGTGTGCCGGGACTTGGCACCAGTGAGCCGTATTTATTATTTTTAAAGGAATCACTAACTGCTTTCTGTAATTGCACTGTGGATAAATGTTCTAAGCGTCCCTGATATTGTACAGAATCTTAAATTATTCAAGGAAAATAAGGCAGGTCAAGCTGGTGCTACCCACTAGTTTGATTTTTTTTTCTGTTTTATAGTTTGTTTGCTGTGCATGGTACTTGTAAAGCTTCAGTACTTTGAGTGTATGCAGTCCTTAGAATTGTTGGAATTGTACATACGGTACTCTTTGGTAAGTGACGAACGATTCTGAATGTTAGTGTTCCGTGTCCTTATAGGAAATATTTTTGATGAGTCCCACGAGACCGCTCTGCCACTGCTAGGCGGACGCCGCGTTGTCTCTTCTCCCTGAGGGGGTCTCCCCACAGCAGCCGAGGCTTCTCAGAGGAGCCGAGGGCCCTGCAGCCTCCATGGGATTCTCCCACCCCACTCCCCAATTCTCTTAAACCCTCTTGGTAAAGATGGAAAGGTGGTACATCCCAGAGCTCAGTGCCAGGTGGACTGTGCAGCCCCTGCCCCTCCCCCGGCGGTGGAGGGGGCGGGGAGCCCAGAGGCACTTCCCCTTCCAGCCAGCACCACCGGCCGCCGATCTCTAGACCGCCGATCTCTAGACCGCCGATCTCTAGATGTGCAGACCGCAGTGGCTTTCACATCCTCGGACCTCCTGCTCCCCAGAGCGGTGTGACTGATTGATTGTAGCAGTTCAGCGAAAGGGTTGAGCCTTTAATCACCCCCGAGCTGAATTTTGCCCTCAGAACCACTCCAAGTCATGTGATATGGCTGGTTTCTGCAGCCTGGGGGACACAGTACATCTTACAGCTGTGAGGAGGGACAAGGGCAGAGGCGGAGCCTCCGCTGCCGGCCAGTCTTCCTGGCTGGAACCCGGGCCACCCTGCACGGCCGCCCTGCCCGGCCACACACCCAGATGCCCCCGAGTGCACCGCGCTGACCCTTCCTTCTGCGTTGAGCACCAGGTTCTGCCCTTGCTTGGAAAGGGACTGAGCGTGTCCCATGCGGCCTCAACAGTGCTGGTCACCGCTTCCTGCGGTCCTTGAATTCTGCTTTGAGCTGCATGGAAGCACCGTGCTGAGGGAGGTGGCGTGTGCTCAAGAGGCCAGGGCCACGGCCCCCGTGCGCGCCTGCCCTTGGGTGTTCTCTGGTGCTGACGTGCTCCCCCGGCTCCACGGCCCCGGCCGACTCTCCAGGACTCGGGCTGCGCGCTCTGTCCCTGGAGCTGAGCGTTGAGACGGGATGCGGATGCTGGCTCCAGTTTTCGCGGTGAAGTTTGACCTTCATTATCAATTCTGGTTCGCTCTACTAACTTTTTATACTAGCAATAACTTTCCTGAGCAAGAAAATCCAGAATGGAGAAAGAGCCCCTTTCCTCCACTTGCTGCGAGCAGGGAGCGCCAGGCGGGGGCCGGCGCCGGGAGCTGGGCTCTGAGACGGGCACTTTGGAAAGTTAACAGAGCATCAGAAGGTGATTTTGCCAAAATTGCCAAACTCTGCATTTCTTACTATGGAGACTTCCTGAGCTTTCTGAATTTTTACATCTAACTACCAGCTTGGTTTAGAGAGGAAATGAGACAATTATAGTAGTTTTTTAAGAAAGTATAAGTTTAAGGGTTCAGATTTAATGACCAAAGTCAAGCAGATCCATAGAATATATAGTCTTAATACAGTCAGCCCAGGCTAAATTTGGTATTTGGAGTTGTCCATTTTTCACTATGATTAAGGAGATTTTAATTCCCATTTTAATTTATTTTAAGTATGTATTACTCTCATAATTAATTGCCAAGAGAAGCATTTTTATACATTGTGTTGGGGTGGGTTGAAGTAGTAGGTCTTCCTCTGGGGTTGCATGGTAGGGAGAAACTTATATTTATAATAAACATGTCAGTGAACATGTTCTTTTGAAATCTCAAGCAATACACAAGAAATAAATTATGTACATTTAGTTTCTCGGCCCGTGTTTGAAGTGTCAGCACGCGCTCTGGCGTCCGGTGTGGCGCTGAGCCGGTGTCAGTGATGGGCTTTCAAGCGCTACTTCCTCCAGGAGGCGACGCAGCGAAACCGCGTGGTGGGCGCTCCAGGCGCCAGGCACGGCGGGTTCGAAACACCTGGCTCCCTGGGACGCTGACCAGGTTTTAATTAGTCCTCCGCTGGTGGAGTTTACGTATTTTAAATCTTAGAATAAAAATAATATAACCTTCATTTCCTTCCTAGCTAGATGCTAATTTGTGTTATTACCACATGACTCTGTCGCAAGTCGGAAAGGGAGACAGAGTGCTCCCCGAACCCTTCGGAATCCTGGGCTGTGGTCTCTCGGGGGAGAAGCCCTTGGTCTCTCGTGGGAGAAGCTGGGCAAAGCGAGTTAGAAACACACGCCCATTCTGACTTCTCCATGTGAGCGGTGGTTCCCGCTGAGATGGGCTCACCTAGGAGAAGACTGTCTCGCTGCCGTAAAACGCCTCTGAACACCTCTTTCTCTTAGTATTCCTCCCCACAGGGTGTTCCTGGGGAGAGGGATGGTGACTCGCTGCCTGTTTTTGTCCCCAGGGCGGGGGGGGGGCCCCCCCGGAGGCAGCTCCTGCTCTTCTCGGGTGACTCAGCTGGTCACCTGACATTTCCTGAGGGAACCCGGGTTAGGCTCCGATTTGGCCTCTCGAGAAGCAGCCTTAAACCAGAAGGGCGCTGCGGAGTCCCTCCAGATGCCAGTCTCAGACAGTGTTCCCAGTTGTGACGGCTGAGCTTTGACTGTTAGCAGAGAAAGTTCTCTTCAGTGTACAAGAAACTCTTCAGGCTGTGGTGACAGTGTTGAGTCCCCAACAGCCTGTTCTGTGAACATCTCGAACTCGCCTCGGTTCAGGTGCGCGCAGGCCTGGACGGGACCTGCGTGCCCACTGGTCAGTTTCCGCGGCAGTCGGACCCAGGGGTGGCCACACCTGCGAGGTCTCCCTGCTGCACAGTTGTAAGAGTTATGTTCACGGCAATATAACAGTCATGGACTTTCACTTTAAATTGTGTACATTTTTAATGGTAAGATTTTTACTGTATATTGATGCATAGTGTGATTCAATAAATTGCTTGTAATTTAAAAACTATTTAATATTCAAAATAAATATAGTTATATATTTATAAACTTGCTGCGTTTATTCCGTGTTTTTCTCACTGGAGGCCCCGGGTGGGTGGCCTGGCACTGCGCTGGTGTCCAGGTGCTGGTTCCCAGGGCAGACCTCCTCCCGCGCCTGAGGACCCCGGGAAGCCGAACGTGCGCGCTGCGCTGGTGCCGGGTCAAGTGCACCTGTAACCGGAAACCTTGCACTTGGGGAGTTTGAGGGGCATTTTCATTCTTGAGGCCCAGCATCAAATGGGCTCTAAGCTAAAAGGCGAATCAGCTCGAAACCAGCCCCTCTCTGCCCTGAGTGGACCTCGGCCCCCCCTCGCGCCGTCTCTCACTCCCCTGGTCCGCGCTGCTGAGAGCCTAACAGGGTCCGCCGAGACCGGCTTCTCCGGGCGCCAGCCCCGGGTTCTGCGGGGTGGGACGCAGCGCCTGGGAGCCGGGCGCACGTGGCTCCCGGGCGCCCCACCAGCCCACGGGACCCTGAGCCAGGTGCTGTAACACCTTTTAATGTTCCTGTAAGCGGGGAGGAAACAGACGGGGCACGAGTGCAGCCGAGTGGAGCGTGTGGGCGGCAGGGCCAGGTCGAGCTCGCCGTCCCGGGAGGCCCGAACCGCGCGCTGGCACGCAGGCCCCGCGGGGCGGGGCGCGGCGCCACCCCCTCGCACCCGGATCGAGCCAGCGGTGTGGGTGCGCGGTGTCCCCGGGCCCCGGGCGCTGCCGGGTCCGCCCGAACGCGGCTACTGCTCTTCGGAGACCTGACTGCTGCCTGTTTAAGAAACGCGAGCATTATTACAAAACGGCTTTTCCGCTAATTCTGACGTCCCGTGTTCTGAGCCTTAAACCCAAGACCATGTGCAGTCCCCGGGCTACCTCTCCGCGCAGGGCCCGCGGGGAGGCCCCAGTCTATGGTTGGGTCGCCGCGGCGGGAGTGGGGGCGCCGCCCCTCCACAGGTGCGCCCCTCCCCTGCTGGCACAGCCCCGCCCCGGCCCCGCCCCGCGGGCTCATTTACATGTGGCCGCAGCCCCGCCTGGGGCAGCTAAAGCGACGTGTCCTTGTCCCCCGTGGGCAGCTCTGGTGAGTGCCGCCGCGGATCTCAAGGTAATGAGGTAGGGGTCGCGGGTGTGGGGAGCCGTGGAAAGAGGACCCAGGGTCAGGACCAGGTGTGGTCTGGGGGAAACCCGGGTAGGAGCCCTGACTGGGACCATCCACAGGTAGCCTGGGGGCTCACGCTGCCGGCTCCCGCCACTCTCCCGACCCATGGGTCCGGACCCCTCCGCCCCATGACCACGGCAGTTCCGGCCCCAATGTCGTCCCTGTATGTGATGTGGTGGCCGGAATCGGTGCCAGTCCATCAGTGCAAGCAGGAGGTAGAGGGCTGTCTGGAGCTAGGATGGCGCTGTATCTGTGGGTGGCCTGGGCAGAGTGGCTACGGCCACTGAAGCCCAGGACCTCCTGGGGTGGGGCCAGTGAGGAGCATGGGGCCAGAGAAAAGTCCAGGGGTCAGGATGCCTCAAGCAGGGGGCGAGGGACCCACCAGGTAAGAGAAAGTTCTGAGGGGTTAGCATGAGATCAGTCAGGGACATGGGGGGTCAGCTCAGGGCTCCCCAAGGTCACTTACTGTGCACCAAGTGGTCAGTGGCAATTGGGCAGCAGGGATACCGCCATGGGTAGCTGTCCTGAGTGTTTATCGGCCTGCCGAGTGACCACAGGGTGGCTTGTGTTCTGGATTTCAGCTCCAAAGGCCGCCCCCCCCAGAGCCTTCACCCCCTGGGATAACCAGTCTGGAACCATGAAGACCAAGGCCCGGCCCCCCAGGCGCCGGGTGGCTGCGCAGAGCACAGAGGCCACCCCAGGGGATCAGACCCCCGACAGGGCCCAGCCGGACTCCGGGGCCCAGCTGGCCAGGGGCCTGCGGAGCAGGACAGCGCAGAAGCAGGGGGCCCGGGCCGAGGGCGGGCGCAGGCGGCAGGGGCTCCCGGGGGCGGCCGGCCGGCGGGAGAGCAGCGTCCAGCGGCGGCTGGAGAGCAACGAGCGGGAGCGGCAGCGCATGCACACGCTGAACAACGCCTTCCAGGCGCTTCGCGAGGTCATCCCCCACGTGCGCACCGACAAGAAGCTCTCCAAGATCGAGACCCTCACGCTGGCCAAGAACTACATCAAGTCGCTGACGGCCACCATCCTGACCATGTCCAGCGGTCGCTTCCCGGGCCTGGACGGGCCGGGCCCTAAGCTCTACCAGCACTACCAGCAGCAGCAGCAGCAGCAGCAGCAGCAGGCGGCCGGGGGGGCGCTGGCTGCCATGGAGTCCCAGCCCGAGGGCCACCTGCAGAAGTACTCCACGCAGATCCACAGCTTCCGAGAGGGCTCCTAGTGCTGGGCCCTGGTCCCACCGAGAGCCCCAGGCTGCTGGTGACCCCCACGTGGACATGGCCCCAGCGGCTGCATCTTCCTTGAACACTCACTCGGCTGCCTTTCAGGAACACGTCCTGGCCCCCCAGGGCACAGGACCTGGCCGAGGTGTGGCCCGAATGTTTGTGTGGGGGCCCCAGGACTGGTTTCCTTTCACTTCCGTAGGCAGGAGCCCACAGGCCTTGGTAACTAGAATCTCTTCTCTCCTGAGTTCCCCCGGAAGCGAGGAGATCCCAGGAAAAGGTGTCCTCGGTAAGTCTCCCCAGTTATGCCTGAGGCCCAGGCTCAGAAAGGAACCCCCCCACCTCCAACCTGCATCCAACCCCCTCATTCAGGCTGAACTGAGGCACAGAGCAACACTCCTGGCCACTCGGAGAGTGTGGCTGAACCCAGGTGGGGGAGTGTCTGCTTAGCCATCCACCTGTCCAGCAGAAACCCTCATCAGACAGGCTCACATTTAATCCTGGAGGGACCTTCGGAGATCCTGGAGGGGCTGCGATATTATCCTGCTGCCTCCTGTGCTGGTCTCCTGGTTGTGGAGGGACTGAGCCAGGTCAGGGGGTCTGTGGCCTGGTGCTGAGGGGGCTGGAGACAGGACAGGGAAAGAGGGACTGGGACTCTCAGGCCCAGCCCTTTGGGCAACCGTCCATCCCCAGGCCTGCCCCTGCTTCCCACCCAGATTTGCTGCTCATTGTCACTAAGTGGGTGGTCTGGAAGGAGTTTCAGGTGCTCCTGGGTCCTGGCTGGGGGTGGGGGCCCTGCGGGGCTCTCTGCCGGGAGAAGTCTGGGGTGGCAAAGCCCCCTCCCCCACGTGGTGCGCTCCGCAGAAGCAGGGCTGGTGTCTTGGCAGGGCCTCCGCGGGCCTGGGCCAAGCTTCCTTCTGCGCTGTTCCTGCCCCGCTGGCTTCGACAGGCTTGGCGACTTTGCTCCTAACTGGCTGGCATCTCCCCTCCCTTGTCCTTCCGCCCCACCGCCAATATGGGGAGGGGACAGAGCCCTTGGCAGCCTCAGGCAGGAGCCATGGTGACTGAGGAGAGAGTCAGCCTGGCACATGGGGGCCGGGTCCCCTGCGCCCGGAGCTGTGCCACAGGTCTTCCCAGGCCATTGTGGGTGGGGGCTGGGCTGGGCCTCAGGTAAGGCCATCACAGCCGAGGGCTCGGCCCTGATGCATGGCCTTGCCTGGTTGTCCTGGCCCTGCCGTTGAATGTGTTTCCAGGCTGTGCGTCAGCCCTGGCAGCTTCAAGGGCAAGCAGGTGGCACCTCTCGGAACAGCCATTTGCCACTTCGGTTCTAACTTACCTGGTCAGATGCTGGCCGGGCCCTTCCAGGCCCCCTGGGCAGGTGGCCCAGGGACACCTGTCCTTCATCCCACATCAGGTTGGGGTCCCAGGTACCCCTGGCTACTCCGGAAGGTCAGAGCAGTGACGAATGCCGAGCTCGAGGACCGGCGGGGTCCAGGCTCCCCTGCGGGGGGGGGGGACTGCTGGCTGAACACACAACGGGGAGACCCGAGAACCTGGTCGCCCTTGCCTGTGGCTGAGCCGAGGCCAGAGCAGTGCTCAGCGCGCCCCTGGACTTGCTGAATGCACCAGCATGCTGAGCCGACCACACAGGGAGGGGGCCCCAGCAGAGGCTGTCTGTCCAGGAGACCGTGCCTGGTGACGGGGGCAGCAGGACGACGTGGGTCTCCACCTAGTAGGTGACAGCCCCGAGGGTGCTCACTCTCCCTGTCCCAAACTTGCACCGGCACCCCCTCTGTCTCCCAGAGGCCCAGCCCTTCTTCACTGCAACCTGGAGGACATCTGTGTGCCCTGTGGCCACATCACCGAGGACCTTCAAGGTCTCAGTCTTGTTTTTGGGGTGTTCAGTATGGGGGTAGAGAGGGAACAGGTCTGGTGACGGGCAGGTGACACCCGCTGCTGCAGTCTGCTCCCTCAGCCTTCCTCTTGGACCCTAAGCCCAGCCGGACTCCTCTGTCCCCTGAGGAGTCCTAACCTCAGAGGCCCTCACGCACCAGCCTTGGTCACCTGTCCCCCCCGCCCCCCGCCAGCCCGAGCCTTGGCCCTGCCTGCACATCGGACCTCAGAACGAGCGAGATAGCTCCCGCTGAGCAGAGAAACCAGAACTGTGACTTTTCTGTCTGAGAACCCCCGGGACTGAATGGCTGGTGCCCCAGCTGTAATGGTGGTGAAAATGTTGCTTAAATGACCCAGATTTGCTTTTCATTTTTCCTAATGGCTCCTTCAAAGCACTCGTGAAATTGACGCTGTCATAAAACAAAAATAAAGGATTTCACGGCGATCTCCATGTCTGCCCCGTGTGTGCCGGCAGGGGAAACCGTGTTTTAATCACAATCAGAGAGAAAAGGGGGCTCTTCATTTATACTCTGGTGTGAGTTTTATTGAATAAAGCATCTGGGGAATAGAGGTGGTTCAGCGACGCGGAGCAGAGGTGTAGCCGCCGCTCCGCCAGCCGACTCACAGCAGAAGAACAGGGGGGCTCGGGGCAGCCCGAGGCCCACGTGCAAACCCTGACCGCGGGATGTAAACAGACAGGCGCCCGCCCCTCCCCCCGCACTCCACCTGGGCCCTGCCCTCCGGCTCCTGGTCCCACCCGCAGAGGCAGACTGCCGGCTCCTCCAACGCCCCTCAGGAGGGCGCCCCCACGCAGGTACTGAACCCTGACGGGCGTGCGGGAGAAGAGAAACCCCCCGGCAGTGTCTGGTTGTAGGGGCCAACTCCGGGCTTCACTGAATGGGGCGCCAGTGGATAAAAAGCAGCCCCAGAGCCACAGGATAGGAGGGGGCTGCTTGGGAGGTGCCTTCCGGCCCACCCCTCCCCCACGGCCCCAACACATTTGGGGAGGGGCCTCTGCTGAGGCGCTCAGGACAGCTTCTCCCAGCCGTGGGGTGGCCCCTTGGGCCTCTGTCCACCCACGGGGGGCTGTGTCTAGCTGGGGAGGACGCCCTCCAGCAGTTATTTCCGACCCGCCGACTCCTCCCTTAACGTCTGGGATTGGACCCTTGGGCGGCCCTGCTGTGAGCCATATGCCCCGGCACCAACAGTGGCCCTGAACCCGCAGCCCCTTTCCTGCCTGGGGCTCAGAGGGCTCTTCCGTGGGCTCTGCTTTCCCGGGGGCCAGCGTTCCTGGAGTGTCCCAGACTCCAGGTTCCGTCCCGGAAAGGCGGCGGCAGAGGCGGTAGGGGTGGGTGGGAGAGGCCGGGGTGGGGGTCCTCACCCGGTGCCCTCCTTGCTCACAGGGCCAAGTGGGGACGGTCCACAGCGCTTCACATTTCTGGGCTATTCCTGGTGCCTCTGAGGCCATGACCTCAGGCCGGGTTCCCTCAAGCCGAGGCAGGACCCTCCTTCCAGCAGAGAATGAATGGCTGGCTGTGAGGGGCAGGCTCACAGACCAATGTGGACCCTTCTAACTGGGCACTACTCCTGCTCCCCGCTGAGGGGGTAACTCAGCAGCAGACGGGGCCCATGGCCTCCTGCGAGGCGCCAGGCCCACTGGAGGTCCCGCTGGGGAGGCCCTGCTCGCCAGCCGTATCCTGGGATGTGCTCCTGGAGGCCCTGGTGGCGTTGGCCCGGATGGAGATGTGATCCCAGCCTCCCTGCGAGGAGAGAGCCGCGTCACGGGGGTGGCAGGGGGTCGGGGGCAGAGACCATCCTTCCAGACGGCTGGGGCCCGGGGACCCCTGAGGGCTCTGCCTGGGTATCCCGCCAACCCGGGCCAGCCCCAGCCCAGGGGGCCCAAGCACACACAGCCCTGGCCTGAGCGGCCGCCCTCTGCCGGCTGGCTCACCCCGATGCCGTAGTGCCAGCCCAGCCCCGTGGGCTGCAGGGGCTGCACGCCCGTGCGGTGACACACGGTTCCCCGGCTCAGGCTGTGGCTCCCCTGGACTTTGTTGGCGATGACCCAGACCTAGAAGGCAGACCCGCTGAAGGCCCAAGCCCTGACTGCCGTGGCACCATGGGGACGGCAGTGGGGAGACGGGGGCGGGAACCCCAGAGTGAGCGCCTGCTCCCTGCCCTCCCCCAGGCCCCAGACCTGGTCCAGGGGCCCCACGGACACGCGGCGCACATTGTTGGACACGTGTGTCCAGCTGGAGCCTTGCGGGTAGCCGGGTGCGACCCCCTGGCGGTGCCACAGGTTCCCTGCAGAGAGAAGGTGAGGCCCGAGGTGAGGCCTGGTCCCGGAGACCCGCCGTGGGTCTGCAGAGCCACTGGTCCGACAGCCTCTCCGCCATCTGCTCCCCACGCGTGCTGGGGCTCCACCGGCCCACAGCGAGGGGGGCGCCCAAAGCGGCCAACCCTGCCTCCCCCACACTCAGGCTGCAGGTGCCGTGGGGCTGGGTGGGGCTGGCACCTCCTCCGCCTTCTCCGCATGAGAAACTGCAGACAAGGAATTCTTTGCACAGAGGGAGCACGGGCCTGGGACCAGAGCCCTGGGTCCCTGTCCAGCACCTGCCCTTTTCTCGCCTTGCTCAGTGGGGACAACGGCCCCACAGGAAAGGGAGCCAGTGACAGAGCTGCCCGAGGCAGGTGCCATCTGCCACCTCCCAGCCGCCGGCTGCCTGCTGAGGGGCTCCCAGCTCACAGGCCTGGGTGGCTCCTTTTAGAAGATGCTCCCAGCACAGGCTCTGCTGGGCACTATGCCCCTGAGCCCAGACCTGCGCAGGGCTGCCCACTTGTGGGGGGCTGGGGCCCCCCGCCCTGGGGAACATGGGGAAGGGACCTAGGTGGAGCCTGACCTCAGGCTGGGTGGCCTCTCATGGTGGCTTATGAAGGTCTCACGCCAGGGACCCGGGCCAGTGAGGGTCTCACCCCATCGGGGTGCTCAGGGATCCCCAAACCGCCTGGTGGCCCCAGGGGCCGGGGATGACTTGCCATTCTCGTCCACGGCATACACGGACGTCTGGCCCACGGACACCTGCTTTAGCCTCTGTTTGGGAGGGGACGGGATGTGGTACCAGCAATTGCCTGGAACGAGAGGCCGGACTTGGATGCGCGGGGACCCCCCAACCCACGGCCTCGGCGCCGGGAGCACGCTGCCTCCACTCCCAGGGCAGCTGGGAGGGTGACCTCTGACGCCCGGGCCTCTCCCAAGGCCCAGAGAAGGCTGTGGCAGGTCCCAGATGGTGGGGCCGGAGGGGCCGATCTCAGGAACAAGGGCACAAAGGTGCCCACCGGCCTGCGGTGGAGAGTCAGCCTGGCGGCCGCTGTGCCAACCCCAACACCTCCACCCTGGGTGGGGCGCACGACACACCAACCGCCACCAGTTCATCTGCCCCTGTGCCAGCCTCCCCCAGGCCAGACATTGTCTGAGAACAAGCTGGCCTGGTCTGCGCCCTGGGGAGTGGCCACTGTGGAGTGGGCAGTGTGGGGCGGGACATGCAAGGCGTCTGCCGCCAGCTGCCCAGGGAGGAGGCTGAGGACCACGAAGGGCGGCCATGAGGGGTAGGGGAACTGCCCCAACCTGGGCCCAGAGGGAGGGGCGGGGCCTCTGGGCATCCCTGCTGGGCCCCCAGCACCTGGTCCACAGGTGGCTTCTAGGAAATGTTTGTGGAGCTGAACTGAAAATCAGGAGACCCGTCGACCGGCGTCCCCTGCAAGTGGACCAGTTCCACTGCGCCAGGCCGCGGCGGCACCAGGCGGGGGACCTCCTGCAGGGTGGCACTCACCAGCTGGCTGGGAGGGGGACACGGAGCCCCGGTAGAAGGCAGAGCCGTCCCTCGCCACCGCCCACACCTGGTGGCAGCCCCCGATGGAGACTGAGGCGAAAGGCTGGTCGGTGCCAACGTGTAGCCAGGAGGAGCCCTGGGGACCGAGGGGGGAGCGCGCTGAGCACTGCCCGGGCCCAGCCCAGGTCCCAGCAGCCGCCGACACCACACGCCAACCCCACCCTCGGCTCCAGCTACGGACTCCACAGTGAGCCCTGTTTCTGGAAGAATCTGTCAGAAGCCCCAGAGTGACCACAGGGTGGGCAGGCCGGGTGGCCCCCAGGGGCAGGACCAGGGTGCTCACCGCCGGGTTGAGCTCCGACACACCCAGGCGGCAGAGCACGTCCCCCTTGTCACTGATGGCCCAGAGTGCGATGCCGTGCCCGCCCCCGTCGGCGCCCGGGCTCTGGGGGATGATGGACACGTCCCTGAGGGCAACGGGGGCCACCTCCAGCCAGGGTCCGCTGGTCACCAGCTTGCATTTTCTGTAGGGTGGAGACAGAGCAGCCCTGGGCGCCCCAGCCACCTGCCCTCGACGGGAGAAGGCTGGAAGGCTGCAGCCAGCGCGCCCTTCTCCCCAGGGTGGCCTCAGTGGGACCCCCTCCACTCCAGCACCCGGGCGAGCGCCCCTTCCCACCCTCCCGCCCCCGCCTCCTTCCTGCCCCCAGCCAGGCCTCCGGGCCAGCCCGTCCCGCGGACAAGCAGAGGCTGACATGACATTTCTGATGTTTGTTCTTGAAAGCACGCTCTTGGAGACCAGCGAGTCCAGGAGCCTGCGGGCACTTCCTGGGCTGACATTTACTTTGATTCATTTCCCCTCACCTGCGCCTCCCCTTCCTTCTTCTGGGACAGAGGCCGGGAGGTCTGGCGGGGGAGGGCCCGGGAGGAGGGGCCGGGCCACACCCTCGGTCACCTCGTGCTGCTCTTTACCTGGCCCAGCGCCTTCTCCTGACAAAATCCCTCATGGTCTTGTACCCGTGATAGGAGCTGCAAGAGGGAGAGGGTGAACTCGAGACCAGTCCGTGGAAGTTTCTGGAAAGCGACGCCACACATGCACAATCCCCTCTCCTCTGCTCCAGGGTGCAGAGCCTCTGTGGGTTGTGCAGTGGCCTCCAAGGGCGGCAGGGGTCACAAGTCCACACGGTCACCCTTAGGATGCCTCTCGGCTGGCCCAGGTCGCCCTGGGGCCAGGACGGGGCCGCGGCCTGACCAGTGGGCTCTGCTAAGAAACTCTGAAGCCTCGCCACCCCAGGCCGGGCCCTTCTAGGGACAGTCAAGCTGAGGGCCCAAGGCCTGTGACACCAGTTACCTCCCTGGGTCGGCGGGGCAGGTGGGGCTCACAGCTCAGCGGGCTTGTGGGCCGAGTCTCCTGTCTCCACCTGCCTCCCTCCGCGCTGCGCCTGAGCTGCCCTGTGATTCTGCCCCCCTCTCGGGCAGGGCCCCTGGCTTGTCACCCAAATCTCCCCAGCGCTCCAGGTCCCAGGCCAGCCCTCCCACAACCCTGGCACAGCAGAGAAGGGACACGACCAGGTGTCGGAAGAGCCGTGGCGTCCTCCCTGAGCCCGTCCACCGAGGCCAGGTGCCAGGTGCACCAGCCAAGCTCACCTG